CTTCATTAGCAAATTTCTTCATTTAAGACAACCAACTTTTAGGTACATCATTTGAAGACGATCAAGAAAGCTTCAACTTTCCAAATTGTAATATAATGTTATTCTCTACAGATGATTATTCCCACACTCTCACTATCAAGCAGCTCCAATTTCTTTGGCATGAAATCCATTGGACTTTTTTTGGGTTAAAAAAAGAAGAAGAAGAAGAAGAAAAGCTAAAGAGATCCTGTCCTTATACTCCCAGAAAAGGGAAAGATAAGTCATACAGAACCAAGAACTATTATACCTCCAAAAGCAGCTTCATTCTGATATGTATTACCAACTACACATTTTGATAAATGTTACTTCCAATTGAACAAACGCTTATGTTTCACAAATACTAGCATCCATGTATAGAAGTATTGGGCATGTCCTACATAAAGGCAAAAGTAAGTAATCAATGGTAAATTTGCAATCAATACATACCTTCCATGAAGAACAAGAATCTCATCTTTTGTGGAACCTGGCCACAAATCTAGTTCAATTACTCTTACACCTCTTTGCAAAGCTTTTACAATTGGGACCTCGCTACAATCACTGCTCAGTTGATTCCCAGTTAGGTAGGAATTATGCCCTGTATATATGAAATACTGTGACAATGGAGCAGTCATATCATGGTGTACCTGGAATGACATGATTTGTCAAGGGCATACTTAACATAGTCCCTTTACAAAATTGTTCAAAACGTACCCAGATAAACATATAATGCCAGGGAAGAAAGTAAAACTAGCAAAGATGCAGAGAAGTGATACTCCAAAGAGCCTGTTCCTGAGAAGTATAAGAAAAGTCTTTTCTTAATTTCTAAATGAGAAGTTATTATTGTGGTTCTTGCCCATAACTAGATTAAAATATATATATTAATAATAATAATAATCCAATCTGTCAATTAACTAATTTGTAGGCTCATAGACCGCAACTCATTGTATATTCTAATTGCTAACAAAATCAACAAAGAAACTATCAAGAAAAGGTGGTCATACTCCTTGCACCTAGTCCCCAATATAAATGATTCGCTTCCTGCACAGTACAGAGTTGGCAGAGAAGGAAAAAAACCCCAGCTTTAGAATCCCAACTAAAATGCAAGAAGTATTAGTCTCCGTCATTTGTTGTAAAAAATTGCAAACTTCATCGAACCCCAATTTCCAAGCTTTCTCAAATTAGAATGTGAAACAATTCATTAACATCAACTGCAAAAAATTTTTTTTAAAAAAAGCCATAATTTCAAAGCATAAATCACAATTGTGATACTCTAAATTTCATGAACGTGCCAAATATATCTAGAGAGAGGAGAAACCTGAGAGGTGATGGGCCCATTGAGGTCATCATAAAGCAAGAAATGGAAAAAATCATCGAGATTAAGTGAATGTCTACTATATCTAGTCAAATGATGCCTCCTGTTGATAACCTCCTCCATGATCTTCTCTGCCTCCGCTAGCGTGCAGTCAAGCTCGTCCTGGTGCAAAACCAGGAAGCGCCGGAGTTGATCGGCCGTCATGTGGGACCCACCATCCGAGAACTTGGAAAAAACTTGTTTCACGTCTTTGGGCGGCTCAGCTTCCGTGATCTTGAACTTTCTGTTAAAAAGATTAAACATCTTGTAATTATAACTCCCCATTTCATTTTCGTTGCTGTTGCTAGGTTCTGGTAATGAAAATGTTCTACGCTTGTCTTTCTTGTAGCTCTCCATTGTTGAGTTTTCTCCGCCACGCTATCTGGTTTTGTTTTCGAATTTTTTTGACCTGAAGATTGGGGGAGAAAGAGAGGGAGAGAGAGACTGAGGAGAGCCTATAAAACAGGAGAATTTGAAGCTCTATCTATCGTTGGAAAAGGGAAACTATGAAAGCAGAAGTACCAAACGGTTATTTGGCTTCTTCTTGCTGTTGACTAGATTAAATAAATGTCATTATTATCTTGCCCTCGTCCTAGGTTTGCCTCCGGAATAAAACAAAGCATGATGCAAGGTGCTAACAATTTTCTGAAACAAAGCAATTTCCAATAAATTCAGGTTAGAAAATAAAAACTTTAACTTCAAATAAAATAACATGAGTAATGCTATATATATATATATATATATATAACTTCAAGAATACATTCAAAGTGTTAGGTTAGTAAAATCTTGTAATTAGATTCGAAGATCATGATCTAATGATACATGTATATTTTTGAAGGTTCTTTTTTAACATCACTCTTATTATTATGCAGATTTAAATAGTTTTTTTTAACCCAAGTTACGCTATAAGTGAAAAAACATATAAAATTATTTTAATTTAATGTCTCATGTTATATTATGCATTTATCAAAATATATTAAATCAAAACTGAGTAAAAATTTATTTGATTTTATAATATTTTTAATCAAAATTTTGTATTTAATAGATTATTTTTAAAATTTTTCATAAATTTTTAATTAAAAAACATAATTTATTTATCTCTATCGATATTTTTAACTAAAAAAATTATAATAATGTAAGAAAAAATTATCAAAATCAATATATTCTTAGCTAAAAATTTATTTTGTAATTTTTTTTCTAAAAAAAGCAATTTTTTGCCTTATAAAAAGCAAGGACCAAAATGAAACAAAAAGAAAGGACCACATTTAAATAAAAAAATTTGAGGATAAAAAAATAATGATTAAAAAAGAAACATCAAAGTATAATGTAAAAAAAACTTTTATAATAAATAACTTTAGAAAATTTGAAAACTACAAAAATATTATTATATGATGAAATAAATATTACATATGAATCTGTATAAATAATAAAATAGATTTGGGTGAATAATTTTTGGAACAGTGCAAATGGACAGTAAACTAACTTCTTTTTTTTCTTTGGTATTATACTCGGAAATATTCATGTCAAATGAATCTTTTATTAGATAGTATCTTTTATTGACGGGATGCGTAGTGTATTGCACTATCAAGTTTAAGGACGAGTAATAATGGTAATTCTTACGTGATTCATTTTCAAAAAAAAAATTGATGTCATTAGCAATGCGTAAATGTGTAATGAACCAGATTATAACCATTCAATTTTTCAGTATTTTTAATTTCAACATTAACAATAGAAAAATACAACAACAACGACAATCAAAAAATTTTTGCACACGATAACATTCAATCGCTATGATAAGTTAACAATACTCAGATAAGTTGTTCCAACATGAAATAAATCTAAATACCATAATAATAAATTTAAAATAAAGTATTCTTAGAGCATGAAATGAGTTGCTAATTATTTAAACTAAATGAGATAACTGTAATTTTTCAACACGTAATATGAACACATATAAAACTAAATAAATATTAATCTTTCGGTTCAATTATTGATCCGATTAATTATTATGAAATTATAATCATAATCATTGTTGAAACCATGCATTCGTTTATCAACTATAAATAAATCTATTTAATGATAAATTTTATTCTCGTTCTATTGCAATTTGACAATTTCATATTTATTGTATCAAATCGCGTAATTTGAATATTAAAGTATTGAAAATTGGACAAATATGATTCAAATTGCCATATTTTCGTTATGAGTAACGATTAACTCGATTGATCATTACTTTGAATGTTAAAACGATGTTATTTTGACACTCTTCTAGTAATTATTTTTTTAAAAGATATTTTTTGCTCCCTAATCTTAAACTTTTTTTTAAAAAAAAATTCTTATAAAATATTATAAATTATATATAAAAAAACATTTTATAAATATTTTCAACCCCCTAATTTTGAATTTTTTTAAAATTTTTTTATAAAATATTATATATAAAATATTTTTTTATAATTTATAAAATCGGGAGGGTCAATCCTTAATTATGCTTATTTTAATTTATAAAATATTTTTTTCAAGGTCTGAAATTGTGTATTGTTAATTATGTTTTTTACAATAATATTTTATAAAAAAAAGTTCAAAACTAGAGGATTAAAAATATTTATAAAATTATTTTCTATATAATTTATAATATTTTTATAATATTTTATAAGAATTGTTTTTTAAAAAATCAAGATTATGGTGGTTAAAAATATTTTTAAATTAAAATATATATATATATATATATATACAGAATGTGAAAATAACGTCGTTTTAACATTTATAGTAAAGTTCAACTCAATTGATCGTAATACATAACGGAGATTAGACAATTTAGATCACATTTGTCTAATCTTCAATATTTTAAAATTTAAATTACGCAATTTAATAATATGAGTCCGAAATTATCAAATTACAATAGAATCGAAGCAAATTTATCATTAAACCTAATTAAATCATAATCATTTTAAATTAAAAAATTTAATTACTTTGTTCAAATCAGGCAATCAACCATGGATTTTGGTTATCATTATCTTCGCTGCATGAATGGAAAACATGAGAAAAATATCCTCCTTTAATTGAATGGCAAATGTTACCTACTCATTAATTGAAATATTAATCGAGGGCGAGGTCTTCTTATATACTGAACATAAGAAACTGGTACAAATAGAACTAGGAAAAACTAAAGAAAGAAGAGAGAAATTCAACAGTAGTAATTAGTAAAGTACTCCTTGGTCACTGGATTTTGATCCTGATACAATTTAGTTCTTTATCTTTGAAAACCTATAATTTAGTTCTTCAACTCTCATTGATTCTCGTGCTACTTAAACTAATACTGGTACTGATATTTTTGTAAATCCCAATTTAACATTGGCAATTTTAAACTATCAGAGAAAACGAATTTGGTGGAGGACTAAGAAATTTTAATGAGAGAACGGTCAACGAGAGTCAATGGACAAAGATGTAAGTTTTTAAATATGAAGGACTAAACTATCCTTACATTCATAAACCAGGAGCTAAAGAATGATTTACTTAACTAACAAAGTAAAAGTAACAAGCAATTATTCAAACATCGAAACACCACTGGATCTTACAGAGGAGGAATTCAGTTTCATTTCATTTGACCAAACAGTTTGCTGGGAGCGGAGAGATGTCCACTACAACAAGATTGGTGTCCATCGCTCTTTTATGGATTCTTGTTCTCTTTGGAACCCTAGCTTTTATCCAGGTTATATACTCTCTCCCTTTCTGTTTGTTTCTCCTCAGTCTCAACCCTAGTCCTTTTATCTTTTCAAACAAAAAGAAAGCTTTTCTTAATTGTTGTGGGTGTTTATTTGCGATTACTGCGTTAATTTCTTTATCAGAATCGATTAAGCGATGCTGCGGTCTCATCAGATCCCAAACTTGTCAATGACAAACTCAGTCAGGTACTTGTTACCTATTTTACATCGAAAGAGACATACTTTGATTGCTCACTTTGGTTTGTGTCATAAAAGTGTGAATTTATGATGGACAGGAACAGAAGTCAGAGGAGGATTTGGAAGGAGTGACCCACAAAGTTTACTTTGATATTGAGATTGCTGGAAAACCCATGGGTATGTGCATATCCAAAAGTAAAAAAGAAAAATTGCCATGGAATTAAATTCTAAATTGGAATTGAAAACTGGTTTCCTTTCTGTTAGTATTATTCTGGCCGAAGAGTAGAATTGCTATGTGGTTATCATTTGTTTTGTAGTGATATGGTGAAATTATTTAGACAACAACATATGAATCTTGGATCATTCATGTATTGATTGAGTCACTAAAATCTTTAAGGCTGATATCTTCCTGTTCTTTAGGTGTACCGTTAGACAAACCAATGTAGATATTCAGTTTCTTTTATGTCATTGGTTATGAAGATGCCGAACAAAAATGCTATCACTTTAGATGGGATTTATATATATTTACTACTTTTTACCTTCAGGTCGCATTGTCATGGGCCTCTTTGGAGAAACAGTTCCTAAGACTGTAGGTATGGAGCCTAAGTTCAACAGCAATGCTGCCTCATTTGTTCCTTGAGATTTTTTTTTTTTTTTTGTAAACTATGTACTTACTAGTTTACATGTTTGTTGTGCAGAAAACTTCCGAGCACTTTGCACGGGTAGCCAAGTAACTTCCCCTCCTGCTTTGTTTCTAATACATAGTTGGACATTTTTCGTTTCACCAATCTTTATCCTGTAGGAATGATACCCTGACCTTAATTTAGCAGGTTGGTGTGAAAAATAGGCGTTCAGCTTTATAATTGTTTATTTTATTTATGGTGAACCTCATTATAGGGGAGAAAGGAGTGGGAAAGAGTGGGAAGCCTCTCCATTTCAAAGGGAGCACATTTCATAGGATTATTCCCAGCTTTATGATCCAGGGTGGTGATTTTACTCGAGGTGATGGACGAGGTGGAGAGTCGATCTATGGTGAGAAGTTTGCTGATGAGAACTTCAAGCTGAAGCACACCGGACCAGGTAAGTTGGCACTACGTTTTAGCCAAGACAGTATCTGAAATTGATTGTAGTTGTTGATTCTTGAATGAACAAGAGAGCTGCAAGCTTCAAGATGCATCATAAACTTCTAACAATTCATCTGCCTTTTTTTGCAAACAGGATTCATGTCAATGGCAAATGCAGGACCAGACACTAATGGATCACAATTTTTCATTACCACTGTAATGACTAGCTGGTAAGTATGCCTGTTGCTTTGTCATGTCCCACCATGTTCTGAAACTATAATTGCATTGCTGAGGATTTTCAATATCCTATTCTGCTATTGTCAAATGTTATTAAAAGTTATTCTTGGGAGACATGAATATTTGCTGACGAATGGCCGGTTAAATCGACCTAATGAGGTTACTAAACCCACGTGCAAGCATTTGTTTTTCTTGAAAGGTTGGATGGCCACCATGTTGTGTTTGGCAAGGTGCTTTCTGGCATGGATATCGTATACAAGATTGAAGCTGAAGGAAGACAGAATGGAGTGCCCAACCATAAAGTTGTGGTTTTAGACAGTGGTGAAATGGCTTTGTGACTGCCCTCTTTGTAGTTGATCATCCGTTTATCTCCTGTGGACAGTGATCGTAGGAATGTAGATTGACTTGGTACTTTTTAATGTCAAGTTTGTGTGTTTTAAAAAGCTCGCACATCTGATAGCAACAATATCTCCATCACTTTTCCAATTTTACAGTCATTATGAGCACATTGATGTGCTTAGGCAATTAGCAAACTGTTACAGCACTAATATTATGTCTCCGTGGGTTCCAGAGATCCAACGCTATTTCAGTAAGCAGCAGCTGGATGTTCAAATACTGCACAGCTAGCAGCTTTAGTATCAACAGATTTTTCCTTCCCGCCCAATAGAACTTGATTTTGCTTTAGAATGGCAGGGAGACTGAAAGATGAGGAGCATCGACTTTTGTTCTTATGCGCATGCAAGGAAGACAATTAATTCTCCAAAAATTTCAAGGTCTCCCGGGGATGGTCAGACGTCACTTGTAAGACACGTTAGTTCCTTTTGTCAGTTGGATGTTGCTTCAAAGATCAGAGGCTTCTCTTATAATCGAGAGGGTTACAGACCTTGCAAGTTACGACAGATTGTCGACTGATCGAAGCGTACGTTCCATTTCGTTCCATATTTGGGTTCAATTCACCCAAAATGCTTATTTTCATATGAAAGGCCACCATCTAAAATCATTAAACCAACCTGTTAACGGCTTTTTTTCTTTTCTTTTTAAAAAAAATTAAGTTCACCAAATGACCTAAAGAAAGTGACATTTCCCTCGACCAAGATGAACTGCAAATTTACTATAACACGGTAACCGTGCAGGTTTCTTGTGACATTTCCCTCAACTCATGAGTCATGACATTTGGTAGACAATCATGGCTGTAGCATAAATTAAGGCAGCCAAACAGCAAACAACCAAACTAGATTCATTACAGAACTTTATCCTGTAATCCAATCATGAAAACACAGAAGCAAACTACAAGCTGTAATATCACTCTCCTAGCAATAACTGTAACACGGAAGTTCAGTAGCAATGACCCAACAGCTTGCAACTGGACATGAGAGTACCACCAAACTTTAAGGACCTTAAAGTTTACCCGATTAAGCTTCTAATGAACGAATATACAAATATACAAGGCCAGTTCTTGTTTGCCACGCAAAAATATCCCAACTTGCCCTCACCTCAATCTTCGCACAACAAAATTTGCTTGTCAAGTATCCCCAGAATCCACCTTAAACAATATTCACCATTCAGCTTTAATTTCTTGTAAATCATTTTCCCTAATTGTATATCAGCAAAAAAGAATATAAAAAATACTAAATATTTTATTAATATAAACTCAAGAGGATAATGGACTCTCCTTACAACATAAACCACAACAGACACAGCATAAATTCTACCCTCAACAGAAACACTGACCCCGTTTGTTTCTACCCAAAATAGACACACTGAACAACTTTATTCACTGAATAAATAAAATATACTTAACTAAGAAGCGAATTAGGCCTTCCGGTTAGCGTTACCGTTACCGTTGTGGTTTCGCTGTTGATAAGCAAACGAGAAATTGGAATTCAAATCAGAGTAAAGCCCAACAACCTTGGAGATATTGCCATTAAGTTCTTGAATCAGAGCAACGTTTTTTACCATGTTGTCAGGAATCCTAGACTGGTGATTGTCATTCACTTGTTGAATCAAAACTCTGTTTCTGTCCAAAACGGACTGAACTTGTCGAAAACTATTGTTGAATGTTGCCCAAACCTCTGCATCAACTTCATCTTCTTTGTTGCGGTTTTTGTTGGTGGTAATTGTGGGATTAGAGGTGTCTTCCATGCTCGATGCGGCGGCGGAGAATGAATCGAGGCTGGTGTTCATGTGTTGAATAAAAATATCTTGATGAGACATCACACCGCCTATTGTCTATTTGGGCCGGTGGATTTGTGTGATGATGCTATATGGATGGAGAGTCTACGCGATTTGAGAGAATGTGTGAAATAGACGCGTGTTAGGCTTGAACCCAGAAAACATGGTGCCTTGTTAGTTAATTATGCTACGACTTCAAATAAACTATCATGTTTGAGTATTTTTATGAAAAAATAAAATTTTGGTTATTGAAATACGTCAGTTTACATCAAAATAAGTAATAACGTCACAAAAAATGTAGTTTATTTCTTCTTGTTTTTTTGCAAATAACTAAAAAAGTAATTAATTTAAATCATTGAAGAAATTTTTCATAAAGATAATTGTATTCGAATTGTTGTACTTGCAACCTTAACCTAAGATAAATTAAGTATTTATTTTTATTGCATTGGCATATTTTTGGAATAAAATACAAATGCACATGATTGATCAAATTCCAATGGTATACAAACTCAAATTGAAAATTAGACATAGTATAGAATATAAATATTAAATTTGTGATTAAGGATTTTTTTTTTCCTTTTATAGTGCGGAAACCAACCCAAACCTTTGTAGGATGAAGATAGTGAATTTCCAATAAATCCATAGCCATTTTGACGCAGATATTGCTTGAATGAGGGTCCAAAAAATCCAAGATCATCTTCCTAAATAATGAAAAAAATAAATTCTCACTCATTTGATGTAAGACATGCCACGTGTTTGAGGAAATATAGATTGCCTACTATCATGGTCATCATTATTTTTTATTAATTCATTAATATAATAAATTTAGCTTTATATTCTCATTTCATAAAAAAATAAAAAATACTAAATATATTTATATTAGTGCTGATGTTCAAAACATCTAACATATTATATAATTTTTATACATACGACAAACTCGTATATTTTATATGAAAATAAAAATTTACTCGAATTAAATAAATATATATTTATATTAAACAAAAATAAATTATTTTTAACTAACTGTGTACGTTTTGGATGTAAGCTATAGTTTTAAAAAATAACTTTTGAAGGAAAATGATGGGCTTTACTCTGAGATTGGTAAATTACTAGTGAAGCACGCGCCACAAGTGCAAGGGGGGTGCAAGTCTTCGGAAATATCTTAAGCGGTCCATTTATTTTATTATTTCTTTTCACAAGAATCTTTAGGCTGCACTTTTTCTTTTAAAAATAATCTTATGCTGTATTTGGATTGGAAGAAAGATTGAAAAAGTCACTGATTTTGCCACGCCAACAACAAAAGGACAGAAAAAGAACACATTCTTTTGCCTTTTATGCACTTAAATATCCAGAAGGATCGAAAATATCTTCCAAGTGAAAATATCGTAATCTGCCACGCACCCCAATCCTTCCTACGAGGTTCAAAGCTTTTTTGTTAGTTTACACAAAAATATTGCCACTGTTGAATGGACTTCAAAAAAGAACCTAGAAAGGTGGTTCAAGCGGTAAGTATGTGATGCTGAAAGCTTTGGAATTACACGTGTAATATTGAATTGGATTTACTTGTTTTTACTATTTAAAATGATTTTTTTTTTATTGTACATAAATCCAATAATCATTGTTTTTACATGATTTTAATTTCTCATAACTCATTATATAAAATATAAAACATCATCAATTCATTTGGATATAAATGCATTATTGGCTAGTGTTGATTCAAATTTCAGTTTCATGATCAATTCACCATGAAAGGATTATTGAAAACTAATGCATGAGGAATTTGTAACTTTGCAGACTTACAAATTGTAGTGAAGATTTTTTTTTTAATCTTAATTATTGAACATATATATATATATATATATAAAATCGAAACTTTTTGGTTTCTATTGTTTGGATTAAAAATGTAATAGAATCATATTAAAAAATATGTGGATTGAACTTCTAGATTTATGTCAAGTTGTTAGTAAAAAACTAATTTCAATGCTTGGAATTTCATTTTTATAAGTTGGTGGTTAATTTTTTTTTTATAAATAACTCCAAGTATTTCAAAATTAATTTTATGAATTTCATCAAAATGATAAATCAACCAATTACAATTTTTGGTATTATAGGGATTTAGTCAAGGGATTCATAAAACTAACACAAGACAAGTTGCTGAATGATTAATGTTTGTTGGCTGAGTTTTTGGGTGAATTACCGGTTCACCACGCGCTAACTGCGAATGCCGGTGGAGGTCTTGGCAAATATCTTATCATGCGATTTCTCTTTTTAGAATATTTTATGCTGTACTTGAATTGGGAGAAAGATCGTAAAAGGTCCTGATTTTGCCACGGCAACAAAAAGAAGAAATATCACCTCCTTTATGGAGTAAATTATAAATTAGCCCTCTACTTTTGAGAAACTAATTAATTAGTCACTTCTGTTTCAAAAAAGTAATTGTTCCTTGTTGTCTTTTTAATATCTATTTAAAAAACCAATTATTATTCCATTTTTTCCTTTTTATGTTATTTTTTTTATTTTTAAAGAGAAAAAATAAAAAAATAAATAGATGTGAAAAAATTTATTGAAAAAACGAATTAGTTAAGTCACTTCTATATCAAAAAACTAATTATTATTTTTTCTATTTTTATCTGATATTTTCTAATTTATTTTGTTTTAAAAAATAATAAACATTATAAAAAATTGATGAAAAAAAATATTTTTTGACATAAAATAATATTAAAATAAATATGTTCAATGCTGAACACCAATTAAAGAATTAGTTTTTAAAACAAGAAAGTCTAATTCATTTCTTCTTTGAAACTAGAGGATTAATTTATAATTTACTCTGTTCTTTTCTTTTTATTTTTATACATCAGATATTTGCAAATGGGAAACATCTTTCTCCTGAAATTATCATAGCATAGATAATAAACATCACGTTGTACCATTTCTCTTTCAATCCATAAACAAAGCAATATAGCTGAAAGGTGAGAAATGGTCTATGAGGATCAGGATCATGTTGGATGGTGCTACGTTATTGCTGATAAAAAGGTAACTCAACGAATGAATTCTAATTCTATCAATAGCTACAAGGTTAAAGGTTTCAATTCTTCAAAATAGAAACTAATCTAAATTCTTAATCACCAATAAAAAAAGGTAAATTTTTTTTTAAAAATTGTTGGTTGCCAATTATGCTTACAATGTATTCTCCCTATCTCTACTTAAGTTTCAATTTATTTGTTATAGATAATCATGAAAAAAATATAATTAATATAACGTTCGAGTTTTTACATTTTTGACATAATATTAAATATCTTATTGAGCGTAAAATAGTGAATTAAAACCTACCATCTTTATTATTTTTGATTAAAAATAAATGAACAATACTTTTCTATTTATGTGTATATGAAATCAATGAGTTTTCATGTGCCTCTTTCATACACATAAACAAAACATATCCTCAGTTTACAATCAATTCACTGATGATTATTTCCTTATCTGTTCCCTCGTCTTTTTTTCTTTTATTATTATTTTCACTCCAATAAGATACATCATACTTGTTTAACAAACTAAAAAACAAAATCAAACTTCAAATTAAGCAATCATAAGAATTGAAGTATGGAAAAAATGAAAAGAAAAGGGAATTGGTACCATAACACCAAACCATAGCATATCACCAAAATAATAACCATGAACCCATCAGAAGAATTCAAAGCTTAATCGAGATAGGTCAAAAAAGAAAGAGAAGAGATGCGAAAATAAAATGGAGGAGGGAAGGGAGTGTCGTGTGAGAGGTGTACAGACATCGTGATTATGATATTTCTTTAAAATGCTGTCACGTGAAGGAAGTGGAAAATTTCCTTATTGAAGGATAGCAGGAAACTGTTTTCCAAAATAAAGGTACGGAGGGTAATGGTGACTTGGTGAGCGTTTGGTTGTTGCCGGTTCAAATCTCAGATTTTTTTTCATGGGCCGCTGACATGGGCTTTCGGACGCTGATTCAAGCCATAATTACACCAAGTTAGTTTAAAAAGTTATCCGAATTCCACCTATTCAACAATGGAAGAGTTCGAGTCAGGATTTCCTATCACAATCGACAAAAGAAGAAATCTGTTCGTTGCACATGAAAATTTAAAACCGAAAAGCAGACGTGTATCTGCTGCATAAGACAGAAAAAAGAAAGAAAAAAAAGAAGATAAATATTACATTTGTAAAATTAGAGAAATTTAATCCTTTAAAAACCCTAAACATTAATATCAATATGAGATTACATGTTATCACACTTTGAGTAGCACAAAAATAAAAGAATAACGATCACCAAATACTCTTTTGTTTTTAATTTATTTTGGTCAATTCATAACTTTTATGTTAGCAAATTTGGTATGATATAAAACCTTCCTTTCATTTCCGTAATAAAGAGTTAAAATAATTTCACATGTATAATTTGTATTTAACTATTAATAGGTTACTAGTCTAGTAGTAATGAGTTCTATCCGGGTTGTTGGGTTTGGTATTGTGAATATGTGGAAAGACAAATGGACGACTATCGATCTCCCATCTCCTATTGGAGACTTGGAAATGACTCGTTGAGTAAGCCGAGTGCAAATTCATTACTTGTACAACTCTCTTCTTGCTATTGCCCAGCAAGAACTCGGATCGTTTGTCTCCGGACAAGAATATAGAGAATAAGTTGTGCCTTATAGGTTCTAAAACCGAAACTTTCAATACGAAAGATTATCATAATGCAATAGGGGTAATTGCTCCTAGCTTTGTATGGTGGAGGAGTCTCCAAAATCAATGGATTCCACGAAAAATAGGTTTCTTTGTTTGGAAGCTATTGCCCGATGCGATGGTAGTGGAGGAGAATATCAAAAAGTGTGGAATTCCTTTAGTTTTGAAATGTCGGTCTTGTTCTTCTCTAAATATAGAATCTATAAACCCTCTTTTCCTATATGGAGAAATAGCTAGGCACCTATGGCAATTTTTGCGAGCATAATGGATGTCCAAAGGAGATCAAGAACATTAATCACTTAGCCTAGGTCTAGTTTTACAAAAGTAAAGTTTTTTCGCAAAAACCTTTTATAAAGATTAATATTTGCAACTATATATTGTGGGAGTTATGGTTAGCCGAAACAAAACGAGTATTTAAGGAGGAAAAGATGTGTCGGCTAAAAATCAAGCACATAGTTCTTCTATGGCTACATGAAGAACTCTCAAACATATTTTGTCCGAAAAAAATTCTTCCTTCCATGATAATATATGTCTAGGTGAATTAGGTCTTTCTCCTATGTCTCCTCATCCTATCAAAGGGATTTGGATAAAATGGTTGTTACCAAGTTAAAGCTTAACATTGATGGGTCTTCAAGGAACAATCAATGCGGTGGTGGAGGCTTGATTCGTGATGATAGAAGCAATCTTATCATGACCTTTTCTTATTTTTTTGGTCTAGAAACTAACTCCATCGAAGAGGCTTTAGCTTTGTCGAAGGTCTAAAATTATGCAAAGATTATAACATTTTATATGACACGAGTGAAGGTTGATAGTCTCGACTATGGGTAGTATCTCTCACACTATTTTGAATCCCCGGCATTTTACATATATTTTTAGGAAATGTATTGCTATTATTCGTTCGAGTGTTCATATTCAGCATTGCTTTCGAAAAGGTAACAAATCCGTGGATAAGCTTGCGGATCGAGCCTTCCAACACAATTCCCTTAAGACACTCGTTTTCAATAGATGATATGCCTCGACGTGTAGAGCGGCTATTTCGAATGATAGATCTAGTCTTTTTAATTTTCATCAATAGCGAGCTTCTTTGTGTATTGTAGGATTCTTTTATTGCTCATCTTGTTTCAAGGGTTTAGGTTTCCTTATCATCTTAACATGTTGGGTTAGGTGGGCTAAGTTGGATTGTCCCTCTCTTATATTCTTCTACTTTTATTTATCTAATTTCAGGATACTGCTCCTGTTTTCAACCAAAAAAAAAAAATTCTAAAGTATTTGAGTTTTTAAAAATTTATTACAAAAAAAGACTAAAATAATTCTTCTTCCAGTATGCCGTGTAATACGATCTCTTACTAACTATCAATGTTAATCACTTTAATGCCTACCAGCTGATATCTGAACTACAGGATCCTATGGTGAAAAAACAAAAAAATATTTGTATTTAAGTCAAATAAAAAGCATAAATAAACTTCACCAGAAAAGAGAGAGAGAGAGAGAGAAGAATTGAACCAGAAAAAAGAGAGAAAAAAACAAAATAAAAACCCACATTCGCCATTGTTTATTATTTCTTATCCAAAAACAAATAAACTGAACTGGTTTTTTTGTTATCTATTAAAGAGTTTCAAAATTTTTAAAATAAAAGGCAAAATTAATAAATGAAGAACAATTTAAAGTAATAAATTTGTTTGCCGTTATATTCAAGAAAAAGAGCCAATCACAGTAAGTAACTATAATCTTCTCTCTTTTCCTCGTCTGCTAATATAAAAAGGCCATGTTCTTTCTCCTCTCATCTATTATTTGAGCAAACCGTTTTCATTCTTCACCTCTCCTTTTCTCCTTCTAAACCCAAAATCAATAACCCTAAATTTATTCATCCAAATAAAAAGCCGAAAATAAACAATCCTAATCGAATTGAACTCTTAACTGTCCCTACGTACAACACTTCGAACTTTAATGATGATCTCAACTATCCTTATCATCATCTAAATTTCCAGTTGCAGCTCCATTTTGATCTAGCTGGATCTCTCTCACAAAAGAAATACCTAGTAATCTTTGAGAAGCATTTTGGAGGTGGGAGCATTTGAGAAATTGATGGATCTTTGTTTATTGAAGTCAGAACTCAAGCAAAACTTTACTTTGATCTGCTTCAAAATCTTGTTCATGGCAGTTTCTTCTCACATAACTCATATCAATAGCTTATTTTGTCTTGCCTGCCTCTTTATATTTTTAATTAACTCGTATCGTTTCAAAACGACGAAGAGGATATGATGCAAGACAAATGATATTATGATTCTATTTATTCCGAGTACAACAACATTTTATATTTCATATATATTATGACTAATTTCAAAACTGAAATATTTGTGTTTTACCTTGATAATAATTACAAAAGATTTATTGTAAATATTTTTGCCATTTTTGGAGAAAGGTCGTTCCCGTTTTAATTTTTCTAGGTTTGTAATTGGAAATGTCAAGAAATGAAAACTAACAAAACACAAGCAAAACTTTTTCACTTTTGTTTTTTTTTTCCTTTTGATGTAAAATAATAAACGATGGCGAAGACGAGTTTTTCTTTTAGTTTTAATTTCTTTTGATGAAAAATAATAAACAATGATGAATGTGACTTTTTTTTAAGTTTGAATTTGTTTTTTTTTTTTTTAGTTTATTCATGTCTTTTCATTTCATTTAAATATAAACTATACATGTGGTATTATCTCAATCCTTTGTTTGACTCAACTAATTAAAACCATTTAGTCAATCTATAAAAAAATATCAACTAAATTGGACGAAAGATTTATATTATACCTAATTTGCTAGTAAAATGATCAATATGAAACAAAATTGAATGGAAGAGTGAATATGACCAGAAACTGAGAATAGAAAGATAACCATGGATTTTCACCCAAAAATAAAAAGGTGAATATTATCTGTTCTTTGAAAAAAAAAAAATTGAGCTTAGATTACTTTTTATACGATTGGCATGTGAAGTGTTATGTGTTTGGTGATTGCAAAAGAACAAGAGGTTGACTTTGGCATGCATAAAAACAAAATTACAAGATTGAAAAATGGAAATGATTATTTCTTATTGTTTAATCCAATCATTAGCAAATATATATATATATATATATATATATATATATATATATATATATATATATATATAGTTTAAAGACTAGAAAATAATTGCATCTTGTTACGTAGTTTAAGACCCTTTGACCTTTTCAATGAAGGAAAAAGGGAAAAAAAATTACCCATTTTTCATGCACAGTTTTTTTTTAAAAAAAAATTCAGAGAAAAAAACAACGGATGAAAAATGAGTAAATTATAAATTAGTCCCTTTCGTTTTGAAAAATAAATAAATAAATTTTTTTGTTTCAAAAACTAATTATGTGGTTTTTATATTTTACAATCTATTTGTAATTTTGCTTTTCTTTTTTTTTTTTTTTTAAGAAATAGCAAAAGAAAAAAATGAAAAGATTAAGGAGAAAAAAACATTTTATAAAATAAAAATAATATTAAATTCAGCATGATCAATACTAAATAATAATTTTCAAAACAAGAAAGATTAATTAATTCTTTTCTTAAAACTAGAGGGGCTAATTCATAATTTACTACCTGAAAAATGGATAACTTTTTTCTTTTCTTTTTTGTTCGTTTAAAAGGTCATAGGGTCTTGAACTGCATAACTGGATGCGGTTCTTTTCTAATCTTTAAATTTCCACTTAATTTCTTTTAGAATTCAATTCTCAATCTCCATTTTTTTTTCCCAAATGAAGTAACGCTACTTCTGTTTTCTGTCGTTTGAATTGAAAATGCAAGAGAATTAGGTAAAAAAAATTGCTACTAAAGGGATTGGGTAAAGGGATTTAGAGAACCATCCTCTTAAGGATGACAATGGATCAGGTATGAAATAAATATTCATTTTACTCGATCTAATAAATATTTATAAAAAATATTCAATGGATAGTGAAATAAGCAAGGTTAAAAAAAGGCATACATATTAATATTTTTAAAGATATGAGTACCTACTCATTATCCTATTAATATAAACTAATTTATTTAGATTTTTTTATTAAGATGTATGGATCTAATTTTATAGAATTTAAAAATTAAGGATCAAAATATTTTTTTTTCAAAAGCTTTGAGGATAAAAAAACTTATAAATAAATGATCAAAATGCAAAAAAAAAAAAAAAAAAAACTTTTTAAAAACTTATAGAGACTAAAATGAATATTTTTGACAAATTAAATTTAACGAGTATTCAATATTAAATAGACGATAAAATAATATGAATTGGATATGAGTTAGATAAAGATTTATATATTAATTTTTAAAAAAATAATAAATAGAATATTCTTTTAATAAATAGTGTAAAAATTTGAATCAGTAAGCTGGGGTATCTGCATATTGCTATCTCTACGTCCTCTCATAAGTTCAGCCATAATAAAGTTACACGCAAAATGTCTCCAACAAACCCAAAGAAGCCTTAATTCAAAGGTTTTTTTTTTTTTTTTTTCCATAATCAAGATATTTTTAAAGCTTATATTCCTAAGCAATATATTTTTAAACTTAATTACTTAAATATTATATTTTTAATACATAAGCACTAAATTAAAAGTAACTATTATGACGAGGAAGTTGAAAATATTGAAAAGCTTTTTTAATATATAGAAATAACAATAAAAAAGACAAGTTATTGTCAAAAAATAATCTAAAACTCTACAAGTTTTATGTTTTTCTCTCTAAACCCTAATTCTCTTTAAAATACAAATTCAACCTATTCATGAAATTTAAATGTTAATACTTAATTATTAATTAGATAATAGTTACTCAACTTTGATTTAATCTTCCATCAACATATATGTATTATAACAATCTAAAACAACTAAATCCAATAAATTTCAAATATAAATTATTGTAATGAGTCATTTGAATGTCGATGGAATGTGTTTTTATATGATCCGAAATTGTTAATATCTTTAAAGTATAATGGGTGTTAATTTAAAATACTAGTTGAAAATGTTTAATTTGATCGTTAATACTGATGGTCATTTTCGCATAATAAATGCTATTTTCATTTTCATTTGTCAATTGATCTTCAAATATGAATGTTATTAAGGCATAAATATGTTTTAGCAATCAAAGAAAAGCTGAAAGATTGAATCAATTTTTGAAAATTACTTTTAAGGATTGCTTTATTTTTCCCGAATTGCTGCAGTTTTCAGAAATTGAAGCAAATTTTCAGAATTGCTTCAACTTTTCAAAAATTGATGCTATTTTCTAAAATTTCTTAATGCTTCCAAGGATGCTATTCATTTCCGCATAATGCTTCAACAAATTATTGTGTATATTAATTTATCGTTATTGCAATTACAACTAATTATGTATATTAATTCACTGCAAAGAAGATGACATCTGTAATTATAATGTCTATGATTTTAAAATTGGGGTTTTATGAGGCATTGGAATTTTTTTTTACACTTCTTTTCTTAAAATTTTTTTTTTGTAGATTTAAGGGATTTAAACTAAAATGTCTTTAACATATATTTTTTTTATAAAAAAGGTAGATTTAATAAAATTGAAAATTAAATGCCACATGGAAAACCATTGCTTATTTGAAATTTAATGTATTTTGTTTGCTGATTTTGTGCTTAAGTGGCAAAAAATGTGTCTAATTTTAGCAATTAAGTTTAAAAGAAACCCTCTTGAGAGAAATACGTTTTGAAACGACCTTTTTTTCTAAAAATAAAAATAAAAATAAAAAATTCTCTTAATTCAAATAGCCAGTTGAGCAGATAACAGATTTGATTTTTAACGTCTGACACCATACCATCTGAGCTGTATTTCACTGTTTATATGTTGTGTTTTGAGATGGCAGATTAACTGTAAAAGTATGGTTAAAACTATATTAAGCCCTGCAGCAGCAACAGATGACACTTTTATATAGAAAAAGAAGAACAACAATCATATATACAGAAACGCCGTGTTCAAAATATTCTTTTTTGCTTCCTCTCTTATTCATTCATCTCTGAATTTTAACAAGAGAGACAGTAGCCGAGGTTGTCATATTGTTGCCTTGCCGGCCGATCAGAGGTCAAGGATGGACGCTGACCCTGCAAAACAAAAGTATATATCCACGGAAATTTATTTTAATGGTTATTTAATAACCCCAAACTACACTATGCTTGTATGCAGTTATGAAACTTTGAAAGATTCAATTACAAATTGGAAAATTTTAAGCCCGTTTATAGATTCTACCCCATTCGTCACAAACCTAAGCATAGCGATACTGCTGATCCAATTGCTCTTCCTTCTCTTCCATCGCTTGCCGCGTTTCTTCTCCGAATTGATGGTAAGCATGCTGTCCATTAATTGATGTTGAATATTTTTTTCTTATTTCTTATGCTTTACAATGACTTAATTAGTACCCTTAATATATATATATATGATTCGTAGAGTAATTTTGTGTTGCTTGGGATGTTAGGTTGGTCTATTTATGGGTCCGATGATGCTCGGAGCAAATCCGTTGTTTTCAGAATACACTCGTCCTATGAAACAATCTCGAGCGTCAGAGACACTAACAGATTTAGGACTCATTTACTACATGTTTCTGGTGGGTTTAGAGATGGACCTAACCACGATAAGAAGAATCAGTAAAAGGGCATGGGCCAATGCTTTGGTTGGAATTCTATTCCCCTTAGGCTTGGGAGCAGGTATGTATTTCCTAGTACTTGGAAAAGAACTCAACGGGCATGTTTGGGGTGCCTGGTTTTGGTCTATTGCCCTCACAGTCACAAGCTTCCCGGATCTTGCTCGGATCCTTTCAGACCTGAAGCTTCTACGATCAGATATTGGACAAATGGCCATATCCTCAGCTTTCGTCAGTGACCTGGTATCTTGGAGTTTTCTTGTTGTGACAATAACATTGAGTAATGTAAATACTCATCAAGCTTTCATCCTCCCAACCCTTGCCTTCATTCTATTCAGTTGGTTTGTGTTACGTCCGGTTCTTTCGCGGATTATTGACAATATTTCTTCAAAAGGAGGAAACTACAGCGACCTTTATATATACTCTATTCTTGCTGGGGTGGTCGTTTGTGGATTCATCACAGACGCATGTGGATCTCACTCTATGATCGGAGCTTTTATGTTTGGACTCATTTTACCTGATGGAGAGCTTGGAATGAAGATTATGGAGAAACTCGAAGACTTTGTGACAGGGATCATGCTTCCTGCCTTTTTTGTGCTTACTGGGACTAGATGCAATGTGGTAGATATGTTTGCCAATGTTAGTGCTTTCACAGTTCTGGCAATTCTAGTATTGGCTTGCTTGGCCAAGATCATAAGCGGTTTCTTGGTTGCCATGTACTATGGTATTCCAGCTCTTGAAAGTGTCGCCCTTGGAGTTCTTATGAATGCCAAAGGCGTTTTGGCTTTGATTATTCTTAATGTTGGGAGAGACATGAAGGTACAATCACTATTTATCAGCTTGAGTTTGTGTTGAAATCACCATCGTTCTGTAAGATAACATGTCCTGTTACTGAAAAAAAAAATGGTAATTATATCACCTTCATTTGCAAGACAATATGGAATAGGCCTTGTTTTCAGGTTATAGTTAAGTAATGCAGAAAGTCTGGAGGTAGGGAGGTTTGAGTTCCATGTTAAATAGTTAACTGTTCGTTTATGATGCATCATTTTTCTATTTTTATCTTCTAATTTTCTTGCAACTTGTTTTGCATGCAGGCTTTGGATAACCAAGAATTTGCTATAATAGTGATAGCAATTTTACTCATGACGATTCTTGTAAAACCAATCCCCCATTGGACTTGTAAGACTACGAAGCATTTCAGGCAATACAAGCGCCGGACATTAGAAGAAAGCAAGCCTGACGCAGAACTACGAATCCTAGCATGCATTCATACACGTCGCAACCTATCAGGAATACTGAACCTCCTAGAACTGTCTAATGCAACCAGGAAATCACCAATTTGCGTATTCGCTGCCCGCTTAGTAGAACTAACTGGAAGGGCTAATGCCATGCTAATCGTTCATGATGATGAACCACAAAATTCTAGTGGCAACAACTGTACCGCTACCACCCGTGGGAGATCAGATGCTGACCAAATCATCAGCTCCTTGGAGAACTATGAAAGAAAAAATCAGTCAATGACCATTCTACCACTGACAGTTGTATCTCCTTACACCAACATGCACGAGGATATCCATAACCTTGCCGAGGACAAGCGCGTGACTTTCATCCTAATTCCATTTTACAAACAATCCAGTGCAGATGGGATGAACCAAGATAACCCATCTATCAGAATCGTAAACCAAAATATACTAACAAAAGCTCCATGCTCTGTGGGGATATTTATTGATCGAGGCCTCAGTTTGAATGCTTATAACGAGGGAAGCCGTCATAGAGAGGAGCTAACTTTTGCCATGCTCTTTACTGGGGGACGTGACGATCGAGAGGCCTTATCTTATTCCTGCAGGATGGCAGGGTCTCTGAATGTGAGTTTAAAAGTGGTGCGATTTCTTCCAGGTAAAGAAGCACTAGAAATGATAGATATAGATGAGGAGCAGAAGTGTGAAAATCAAAGACTTGTTGATGATACGTATCTGAACGAGTTACGATTTATGACAATGTGCAATCAATCCATAATTTGGGTGGAAAAGTTGGTGAATAGTGGGGATGAGATTATCACCGCAACAAAGGCTCTAGTTGATGAGTATGATCTATATATAGTGGGAAGGGGCCATGAAATGATAAAGCCATTTACTTTGGGGCTATCGGAGTGGAGTAGTTGTGAAGAGCTTGGGCCACTAGGAGATGCATTATCAACATCTGACTTCGCACAACATGCATCGATTCTCATAGTCCAACAATATAGTGTTGCCACAAAAAATAATGGCATGCAGCAGTATCAAGAAGAGCAAGCTGGGCTTGCAACTTGGCGATCTCCTTTGAGTAGTCGTAACCTTCTGGACTTCATAAATCACAGAAACAAGACTGATGAAGAGGATGATTAAATATGAGTCTTACAGCATATCATGTAGCCAAATTCAAATGGTATAATATCTCGTGTAGAAGTTCTGCCTACATTGATCACATTAAGTTTTTGGTTGATTGTTTTTGAGCTTACAAATAAATAGATGTACAGTTGAGCAGGGATATATTTTTTTTAAAATCATGCAATTAAAGATTAAATGTATTGCATCAATTCAATTACCATGGCTACAAGCAAATAGTCAGTTTCCAGGTTTAGTTGTGACTGTGCAGTTGCATCAGCACCCCAAACAGCCTCACCCCTGCCTCACCCATGCCCCCAACTTCCTGTAGGGCTTACTATCAAATTATCAAGAGGAAAACAAAACTGAAGAATGAAATATAATAGTACCTGCACATGCTTTTTTATTTCTTGTGCAAGAATGCACACATCATGCATCAATCTCAAGGCAAGGACCAAGACAAAGCAGCATGAATGTTTGAATTGACAGCAATGGCAGGGTAGAAACGGGCACCTACTCAGCTGGTTTTCTCTTTCTCCCAAGAATTGAAGCTCTCTGCAATCTGGGGCCACCCGTCCTCCATTTCTTAAAGGCTGCCATGGATGATTGAGCTGCTTCATACACTAAGCATGCAGAGAAACAAATGAATGTTATTGCAACATAAATGTGAAGCACGAAAGCAGAAATTTTTATGCTTAAACAACTAAAAGAATCTCACAATAAGTTTCTTCTTTAGTTAGGAGTGTTAGAAATTTGGAAGCTGCTGCAAATGCAGTGGAGTGTGCCTTGTGTAGGACTTCCTTATACCGGATTCGAAATGCATATGAGAGCAACAATCCAATGGTTTTATCACACCTAAGCATCATTACAAATAACCAAATAAGTCCCCATAAAGAAAAGGTAAAAAGCTCAGTGAGAATCAATTTGTCAGCCAAAGGAAAGATTGCTGGTGTAAGTGCAAATTTAATGTTAATAGGAACGACTGACATTCCAACACCACTTATCGATTCTGCAGTTTTGCCACTAACAGGACAAAAACACGCTATCTAATTTCATTGCACTAGACAAAATCACAGCAAATATGCAAAAGCAAATTTGGATGGAGCAATGATAAAGAGAGTGCCAAGCACAACCTTCACAACATGTAAACGGAACCATGGTACAGTTTATGACTAGAGACTTGAGGTTTGACCACTTCTCAAAGCTAACAGGAATCAGAATGCATGATGAAGTTAATCATTTTCACATTTTACTTCTCCCACTTTTTCCTTCCTATTACAAGGATCTAACAAGGACCTTTAATTGAACCCTGGACTTGAGAACGAAAAATTGATAGGATTTGCTTTTAGAATTCAGGTACACTGATGTCTGCCATCAAATGAACCTAGATAAAACTGAGCAACTTAGAATCACTAACAGAAAACATGTCTCGGGCTAAAAGAGAACGCCAAACTCATATCCAAATAATTTCATCAGGCTGGGCTAATGAAGCAGAGAAGGATAAACACTAGTCAATTCATGAATGGTTCAGGTGGGTGGTAAAATGATATTCTCTCGTTACAGTAACGAAGATATCCTGAAGTTAAAAGCATTCCATATTTCTTCTGGTTGGTAGCCAAACTTCTTGCGCTGACATAGAAGATGCCCAAACTTGATTTTATACTTAAACCAGTGATCTACTTTTGGATCTCATGATGTGTTAGTTTGTATCTAGAAAATAATTGGATTCATTTGGAATTGTCAATGTAATACAACAGAGTGATAAAGTCAAAAGGTTAAGGCATCACACAGTCGAGGTCATAAAATATTGAATGCATTGAGCCGCATGTTTCCTCCTCCATATCAAGAAAGCACTACTTAGTGACAATGTTTCACAAGTCGGATGCCGTATTAGGCAAGTACTCTTGTATGGCAGTCCAACAAACGGCACTCAAAAGACCACATCACAGCAACTTTATATACACACATGAATGGATGGGCAGGGGAAAGAGACTCACAGCGGAGCCAGCTTGCATCCAAATTCATAAAAGTATTGACAGCGGGATCTCAAGTCCACACATGCAGCATCTGCCTGGATTTCCAGCCTTGTTCTGGTGAAGGGAAAAAAAAAACTATCTATAAGACACAAGAAGAACCATACAAGTAAATAAATGGTGGATGACAGCATGAACGAACCATTCTCCATACTTCTTTCTACACATGATGATTCTTTGGGAACTCAACTACCACACCATTTGAATAACCCCTAAAAGCGAAATTGACTCTGTAGAATCGATGGGGAGAAAGCCCTCCCAAGAGAAGTTGAGCGAAATTTCTTGAGATATGGCTATAAGTAACTACATTTTACATTTAAGTTGTAACAACAATAACATACATAATTTCAACAAGAAAATTTCTACCCTTGATAGACACAACCGGGGCAACCAACTGACCTCTCTACTACAAATAGAAAGCAAACCTCTATGAAAATGGATCTCCCACTAACTCACTTAATAATGTGAAATAAAAAGATTCACTTTGAGAAAGTAAGGCTATTACTTTTGATTAAAACAGGCAGGAACACTTATCGATACTGCTTGCCTCATGTGCAATTCACGAGCAAGCCAGAAAGGAAGCTCTGTCTTTGAACCTTGTTCAACCTGAGTTTTAATTAATACATTGAAAGCAAATTGAATGTATAAAAAATAAAAGTAATTCGACTCATGAACTCTCTTTCCAGTGCTATTTTACTTAAAACTTACATATCCTTTTTCGGTACTTTCATCAATTTTCACTCCATTTATAGCCTTTTGATATACAACCGGGACAAACTGCAAGCCAATGCGTGCACACGCAGAAAGGTCATTATGTTAGAATTGGGAAATTTGGGGGTTAAAATATACGATCAAAATATATAAAATTTCACCTCTTCCTCCGTAAGAATATCATCAATGTCATAGTAATTTGACATTGTTTTATGCTTTCAATTCTTGTAGCTTCCCTTTGATTTCTCCAATACAGAAAGGATTTCAGGTATTTACACGATGCAATTACTGTCCATAAAGAATTAAATAAAAACATTTATTTAAAAATAGCAAATAATCCTGCTTGTCAGTAACCAAAAAAAAAAAAAAAAAAAACTGAAGAAAAATAGAGTCTGACCTCATAAGTAATGTCTGGACGACCTTAGATTCCCCGCGCCATCGATCTAGCTGTTGCCCAGCCAATTTCTTGCTTTGTTTTCGGTCAGATTAAAAAACGAATGGGAAAGAGCTCCAGAAAAGTTAAAAAATAACTCAATTTATTCCGAATTTTGGAAAAGCTCCAAGCAATAAATAGGTGGCTATCGCTGCAACTAAGAAAACCTAATTTGAGAAAATGCCTAAATCTATGCACATTATGAAATAAGAACTGATGTATTTGCTTCAAAGGAGAAACCTAGGGTTATGAGAAAAAAAACAGGTAAGAAATTTGGGGTCAGAAAAAGATTTCCAGAAAGAACAGAGAAAGAGCCAAGAAGACTGCTGCTTTCGGCTTCTATTCTGTAGAAAATCTTACAGATTGGTGTAGGATAATTACAGTGCTTGTGAATCGTATGGCGTTAGAGTTTGGGAGCAAAGAACAACTAAAATTAATGGGTTTAATGGCCGTGGATGCCCCTGTGGTTTAAGAAATTCGTCAATTTAAACCCTGTACTTTATAAACTACAATTGGTCCCCTGTACCAAACATATTGTTAGTACAAAGTTAACGAATTTGTGCGAAAATTGCCGGGTTCCCTCGTACTATTAATTTTTGGTTGTTTTCATCATCAGCTCAGTTTTGGTGCAAACTAAACTGTACTAAAAAATTATAATTTTGGTTAGCCTTTTCATCACTCAATTCTATTAGATTTACCAAATTTTGTTAGTTAAATAACACGTGTCAACTCATATATAAAAATATAATTTCTACTGAATAATCATTTTCTAGAAATTGAAATTACTAAAAAATAATTAATTGTTATTTAAAAATAATAAATAAAAATATATAAAACTAACTTTATAAAATAAATAAATATATATATGAAAAAACTAACTTTGTAAACACGTGGGTTTAGTTATTTTTTTATGTTAGAAATAATTAAAAAATAACTAATTATTATTTACAAAAATAAGTAATAAAAAAACAAACTTTTTAATCACACATGTTAGTTAAGTTTTTTTTTTTTATGGGTATTATTAAATTCATCAATAGAATTGTTATTTTCACTGTTTTTTAAACAATTACTAATATATCGTCCATCTATTATTAATAACTATTATATAACAAATATTGATGAAGGGTATATTAATAATTTTTTAGAAAAGTGAGAATAATAATTTTATCGGTAAATTTAACATTACTATATATATATTATTTTTCAATATTAATTTATTATTTTTTTAATTATTTTTATGTTTTAGAAAATAATTATCCACTAAAAAATATATTTTTAGGCATGGTTTGACATCTGCCTTCCATGAGTAGGTATACCTTAGTAAACCAAAAGAATTTGGTCAACCTATAAAAATTGAATAAAAAAGAAAAACTGATGTGTCTCGTCTTTTTCTTAACACAAGATTTGGTTTGCATGCATATGAAGATTAAAATGATAAATAAAAAAAATGATAGTACGAGAGTACAAGTTGTTGTCATCAGCCAATGAATTCTTTTATTGTCATCAACGTATAACTTGTTGATTTCGTTTGGAGTTTTGAATTTTTTTATCCAACATCCATTGTTGTTGTTATTATAAAGAGGATGGTGGTTATCTGGGAGTTATAGCGAAACGCCACTTTCTTTTGACTTAAATAACAAAAGAATCCAATGTTAAATTATTTTGTTTTGTTTGAATTTGTTTAGCCCTTTTGGTGCATTGTATTGCGCTTCAACGTATTACGAGATGTATCCTTAACATCTTTAACGAAAAATAAAGGAGTTAATGAGTTTTTTTGTTTGTCTAATTTGAGTGAGGGAAAATTTTAATTGAAAATGGTTAAATTTTTTAGTTTTCTCATATCTACACTAAAATAAAGTTTTTGAAAATTCAAGAACTAGAATGGAAATTTGTGAAGAGCTACCCACTCATATGGTGACACCCATCATGTAACTCTTGGGGTACAACAGTTCTCACGATGTGTTTTTTATTTTAAATTAAATTATGATTTTGTTCGCTTATTATTGTAGAGAAAAATTCCTTTCCAATTATTGTCATTTTCTTCTTTTTGTATAGTAAATATTTAAGTTGTCCTTATACCTATAGTGTAGAAAATGAACAAAATAATTTGAAAGCAAAGTTTCCTGCGTGAATCAAAAAATAAAATCATAATTTAGTGGTCTCATGCAAAATATATGTCGTCAGATGACATATTAATTAACAGAAACTGGACATAAATATTTGATTGATAGTTTTAAAAAAACTAATATACTTAAACAAATAAAAAAATTAAATTTAAATACTCTATTGATAAAATGTTAAAAGCAGATAAATTTATAGTGCAGTCATTCCAAAAATTCTCACCTTTCAAAATTAATGGATCTTATTGGACAAGGAAACGCTGAAATTTTGGGTCATTTATGTTCTCATGGCTATTGAGTGAGATCGAAAAATTATGAGATATGTCAAAAATTATATTCCACATTCTCCAATAAACACAAAACTCATTATTAAATTAATTTATAAGTCTCACGTTTTTATAAAAGAATAAAAAATACCGTTTCGGTATACTAATAATAGTTCTTGCAGCATAAACAACCCTACTTCTGTGGTAGAACATTTTGATTTCAGAAAAGAAAACCTTCAAATTCTTGGTCACGCACTAAAAGCTATTTCTCGAAACAGAGAATTTGTGACATGGGACGTGCCGCTAACGTCTCACTTTTCCCTTGAATGAAACTTCCCCAGTTCTTTTTTGCTTTATATGAAAAAAAAAGGGCATAATAAGACATCTAAGATGGAAAAACTATACTGAAACCATATATAGATAACCAAGGACCTCAACCACCTCCCGAAACCATACTCCATGAGAGAAAAGGTACTATTCCATTCGAAGTTCATTCAAGACAGACACCATCATCGATACCATATAAGACACTATTGTCACATCCCATGTTCTCTGTTGAGCTTGTTCATCTCCTTCCGAAGAATCCTGTTGTTTAATTTTCTAAAGCCCAAGGCCGTCAACAACTCTATCCTTCAGATTAATTTGGAATTCGGATAGTTATTGCCACAAGTACCAATGGCTAAGCAAGAAACAACTGGATTAAAAATGAATGGAGTTCAACATTAGTTAACAAGAATGAGTTGCACTATAATTATTTCACTCTAGGCTAATTCTTTTTTGCGGTTCCATGCATAGACTCAGGTAAGAGATGGTTGTTTTCTTCAATTTCTACTGGCAGCTCCAGCATTCGAAAGAAGCAAAAAAAGATAGTTTTGCAACCTAGTCCCACTGAACCTCCCTGTGAAATGTCCACTCAGAGGGATTTAGAGTTCGTTTCCCATCAGCAGCAACAAGATCATAAGGTGAATCCTCTGAAAATTCAGTGGGCATGGACTTCCAATGAAGAGATGGAGCCCACTCAGCTTCCTTCAGCACCTTCAGAATCTCCTCCACAACTATTTTGCTCCCTTCAGCAGATAAATGAATGCCATCTCTGGAAAAAATGTGAAGGGGAAACTTTAAAATGGATTGTCAAAACACTTTCAGTTTAACCACAGACACTCAATTCACATTTTTTGTGATTGTTGTTGTAGTAAAAGAAGACAACTTTGCAATCTTAAATCATTGGGATACTGACCCAAGAAATCTAACATTGGCCAGTTAAAATCGTAACAAAAAGGAAATATCTAGTGATTTACGAGCTGAATTAACCAACACAGCCAGCCATTATGCAGAGAAAGGAGAGACCATCTATTTAGAGAAAACATACATGCACTATAGATTTCACCCATGTATACCTGACTCCAACATCCAAAACCAGTGCACATCTAGTATCCAATTCCAAAACCAGGAAGACTTCTCAAGTCTCAACAGAATAAAATTATAGTCAATGAGTCCATAGAACATATTCTGGGTCGTGCACTAAGAAAGACCAATACAGAAAAGAACACTAAACTATAAAAAAGACCCCTGAACTATTGGTGTTTTGATCAACACCCCTTCTATATATATATATATATTCATTTGATTTTAAAATACGAATTATGAGGTGTTTTGATTAGGATCCATTCTATCACTGTTCACCAGCAAAACTCCACCGTCTTGACCACCAAATACAGGTGGGTATCAATCAAAATGGTTGATAGTTCAAGGGTCTTGATAAGTTTATGACCATTTGAGCAACAACACAATCTAATCACCAAGCTGGCTAAGAATATCTTTCTGTCATGGGAAAGCAAACACATGATGGCCTAACTTTTCATGGCAATGCCAAAACTGAAAGTGGGAACTATTCATCTGACTTTTGCAGATCAAATAAAAAACGAGTCTCTAGATTGCATATATATGAAATGTAAAAATGCCTATCTGCAACCAGTGAGTCCATGTAGTCAAATGATACTGTACCATACTGCAATACAGTGCAGACAAGTATTTGGAATTCTGACTTGAAGCCTTTACACGTATCCTAAGATAAGAACGATTATCCTTATAACAACAAAAGTAAACAATCAGAGAGTATTGTCCAGATCAAAAAAAGCAAACTACGAATGGTTTTAAAGCTTCTCCATCCACAGATTAAAAAACGACAAAAAGAAAACTAAGCCTCATTAATAATTATGTGTGAGAAAAACACCACCACATCTAAGTATCATGCATAATACAGAGACATGATACGTAAGGGGGGCCACAAATAACATATATGACAACAAACACTTCTGAACCTTGATCGTGTTAGCAAAAGCAACATATAGAAAACTTACGTAAAGCAAGCTTTGGCCCAACCATCTCTTTTTTGAAAGGCAGAGAAAAGATCAACAACCTTCACTCCCAATTCCTGGCATAGCTTTACACAACCATTGGAATATTTTTGGCACAACTCGTTTGTTCGCACTAGTTCACTGAAAATTCCACTGATTTTAGAAAAACAAATGGTTCAGAATTTCTATGATCAGAAACAGGGAAAAAAAAAAAGGAAAAGAAGATAAAGAATATGTATCAGAGCACCTGGTGCCCGAATTAACTCTGGCCTCATCAACAGGAGGACAACTCATAAAAATGATACGGGTTGTATCTGAAAGGCTCTGATTTTCAAGTATCTTATGTTAGAATAAACATCAAACATCATTCTCTGAAGAGCTTTTGCAGGGTCAAATTACAAGACGTACACAACCAAAGGATAATTGGACACAGTTCAGCAATCAGGAATTGAATAAAAAGCACTTGAGAGCATTTAAAGGCATTCAAGAGCAGCATAAGAACAACATTTTCTATCCGAATACTTATTGCAACCATAAGAACCTCCCAGTTTGTTTTTTTTTTGTTTTTTTTGCTCCCGTTAAAGATGAAGTTTACCATAATATTTATCTAACAACTCAAGGAGAAGGATTACTTTGATTTCCTTGCATCTAATTCGGTTCATTCATTCATATTACACATGTGTATCAACAATGATCTATTCATTTAGTGAGATTGTATTATTTGAGAAACGGGAGAAAACCTTGAGATGAATTGCAATCTTTCTCATGTTCTCGATGTATTCATTAAGTGGTACATGAGGGCCTAAGCCAGAGGAGTGAGGCCCCATTGAATCATTACCACCAAAATAGACTATCACCAAAGATGGTTGTACAGGAGCATCCTACAATACATGAAAACAATATAACAAGTTAATTGTCACTACCTTCCTCTGTCAAGATCGATTTCGTGTGATGTCTGTTCCTAAGAATTAGCATATCGATAAAGTACCTTTGGAAAAACTTGATCGAGAACCTGGATAGCACGCCGCGAGTTCCATCCGTAGTACCCTCGCAACAATATGTCTGCCTGCAACAGTCAGACCGAAACAGAACAAGATTAACATAATCAGACGCTGCAAAATGGCAATTTTATTCACCGATCAGCGCTGGGGTTAATGGCCAAAACAATGAAATAAGCATCAATTAGGGCAAATTTTTCGTTTCAATTTCTATGTATTAGAAACAAATCAAGCAGCATTTAAAATAGCATGTGAAACCAAGAGAAAAAAAGAAAACAAACAACAGAGAGAGAGAGAGAGAGAGGAATAGATACTTTGCGAGAGTAGATATCGGAGAGAATGGAACCCCAACCGCCATGACTGAAGCAGAGTTGGACAATGGACGATCCAAAGAGAACGAATTGCGGTCTACTCGGTCCCACCATGTCTCTGTGTCGTGACAAAACCTTTCGTCGTTTTCTTTTTCTTTGTGTCCGGCTGTGATTATTGAAAAGTCCGTTCGCCGATTTCTTTTTTCTCTGTGTCTGGCTGTGAATATAGAAAACGACAGTGGCTCGGCGCTACTTAATCTGCGGAGGAGGATAGAGAAAAGCGTAAGAATCGAGAAATAGCGGCTTTTATTGTGGAAAGGATTGACCCTCATTAAGATGAATTCAGGCGCTTGGTTCGTAAACAGTGACAAGTGTGTACTGTTCTCTTCTTTCGTTGGTTCCCTCCAATTTGAGGATTCAGTCCTATTCATTGTCTTGGCAAGACCCATCAATTCAATCTGTATATTTTCTAATTTGATCAATCGAATATGATATTTTTAAAATCAATGGCTTTTACATGCATGCTTGATAAAAAAAGAAAAATAATATATTCCTACATAATAGGATCCACGTACAGTGCTTCCACTACAAATAAATTACATGTTTTTCCCATGACTTTACTCTTTTTAGTTGTGCGGCTCGCCACTTTTTTTAATATAAAAAATAAAGGGATAGAGTGATTCTCCCTTGAAAGAAATGCGAGGAAAAAATTATAGTTAATTATGGATTGATGTAGATGTTTAACATGTAAATCATGTGTTTAATGTCTTAATAGAAGGTTTCAGATTTCTGTTTTCAATAAATTGAGCAATACACACACTCAGCTTAAGGTGAGATTTGTCTTCGATTGCATATGTGTGATATTTCAGATCTTTGATGTCAAGTGCACGTTCCCGTAGAAAGCTTTGAAAAAACAAAAAAACCTTGCATTTTTTTTAAATTAAAGGCATTTTGGTCATATAAAATTTGGACTTAATCAAGCAGTTCATATGACATAATTCCGTCGGTATGAATGAAGAAATTATACTGGAATGATAGATTAAATACGTAATAGCTTTTAAAGAATAAATTAGTTGCAGTTATATATATATATAGACTAGACATATAAAGCTATTTGTTCATTAATTACCTATTCATGAAAATTTAGAATCACATAATATAGTACTGCTTTTAGAAGTGAATATACGGTTTTAAGTTAACCGAATAAAAAATAAAATAAAACAAACTATTATGTTTTTTTTTTTGGTGAAAATTGAAATTTCTTTCCCATTTTTTATTTTTTAAAATAATGTATCTTAAAAAAAAGGTGTTATTTATGGACTAAGAATCATTCCTCTAATTTAAATACTGTAAATTAATGCATATAAAAGATAATAAATATTTAGTTGAATAAACCATGAACTTCATAATCTATAATAAAAATACAATCCATTTAACAAATAAAAATAACATAGTTGATGGTGCTAAATAAAAATATATGATATTAATTATTAAGATCTTTCATCAATGATCTATTAACTTCTAAGTCTTGACATTTTCTATTTTTTTAATAAAAAAATTCATCCATTAAACTAAATAATTTATCAAAATATTCAAATTTAAAAAATACACGTATAAAGCAAATAAAAATTAAAAACTTAACAGTATCATTCAAAATATTATTAATCCATCATATATCTATAATAATATTAAAGTATTGATTTTTAAACATTCTAAAACAATTAGTTTAAATCAAATTGAAAATTTTAAAAACCAAATCAAAATCGAAAATCAAAATAAACTCTGTTTCAATTTTTTTTTTCATTTTAAATTTAAAAATAAAGTAAATTTTGATATTTCGATTTAATTTAATTTAATTTTCAGTTTTAACATAATACCGCTCACTTTTAAATAATATTATATAGTATTACAAAACGGTAAAGGCGAGCACAGGTTCCACCTGGTGGCGAGAAAATAGGCGAGTCACAATCATGTGCGTTGCAGAAGTAATGCATCTGAATAGCCCAGCACCAAACAAAACCAACTATTTATGGCTTCATCATTAATGCAATCTTTTCTACTGCAACTTGGACGGCCCATAGCCACCTGGGTGACCCATCAGATCATCACAAATTCCCACCATAATCGTTCTTTTGGAAGCATCACACTTACATCTCAAGTCCTAACTAAATTTGCTGAATCTGGTGGCCAAATTCGGTGAAGCTGATTGGGCCACCAAACTTGGTAGATTTAGCATAAAAGGAAGTTCAATAAATACAGTGAAGCATCACGCTCATGGTCCAACCAAATGCAGTTCCCCAGCCCTGTCCAATCATGAAACAAATACTGCGATGTACCATGATAGTTAATGTGCCATCTTTATTGCCCTCCATTTCCCTTCCACTGACAATAGTAGTTGCTGTAACTCTCACAAACTACTCCAACAGGTCACGCCATCATGCTTCGAAGGACGAGGGCGACTCAATTGATTATTGCGTTGGAAAAAGCAAAACTTCCCAGAGAGATTGTTTTCATTGGCAAATATTCCGTGTATGATGCATCACAAAGGAAAAGGCAAAGGTTAACATTACATTATTAACCTCCAAGAGACTGGCCTCGCGCCAAATGGTTAATAAAATAGTGATCTCTATTTTATTAAACTGATATGCGAAACAAGCATCCTTAAATATTGTCCAAAAAGAGAACTTAATAATTAAACTGATATGAGAAAACCTCTTGACATTGGTAAAAAATTAAAAAGATAAAAAGATAAAAATTGCCATTTATTACCATTTCTAACACAACACAAGTCCTCAAATTCCCATGATGAGAAACAGTAAAAATTACATAAACCACTTACATATGTTCAAGACAACAATTCAATTGGGCACGAACTTCACTTCCAAAATCAGAAGGAACTTTATTTTTTAAAAAAAATTTCAAATTCCACTAGGCTGTATTTCTCCTTCCTTACTGAGGGGTTTCACAACATAAATCATCAGTCCGGGTTTCTTATTGGACCGACTAAAAAGAATAAATTGCATGATACGCCTTTTCCTTTTAGGTGCTGTTTAAGAAAAAACCAGGTATCAATCCGTGTCCAAAGCACCTTCCAGCATCTGGACAGCGGATAGAAAGAATATGAAGTCCCTGTGAGGTAAAAAATTGAAAAGAAAGAAAAGAAACAGGCTCTCTGGAATGTCTGATGTTCATATTCATCCCGTCAAAGCTCTCCTTAGATGTAAAAGCCACAGGGCTATCTGCATCCCCAGAAGTCTAAATTCCAACAAGATTTCCTCCAGCAATACATCTAACCTACTCAGTAAGGATTTCCGCTGTAACTTCTTTGCCTCAACAACTGCCTTGGAGGAAACTTTTCCGATGATGAAAAATGTCTCAACAGAAGATCCTTGCAACTGTCCATAATTCATTTGGATTATACAGTATTCCAAGATTTACTTACCAATAAAATGAATTAACTTCAACCAGAAGACCACAAAAATAAAAGGCAATGATAATGACCGAGGACAATGTACTATACCAGACAACTATTTACAGATCGCAAACAGTCATTTGTTTTCAGCATCAACAGAATTACTCTTGGCAACCTCCTTAGAAGCTCAGAGATTTGAGGGAAGAACTGAGATGCATACATCTGCAAAGGGTACAAATTATAAAGCAAGTAATAAATACATTGAAAGCATCTATGTGGACAACACAACAAGAATTTGCCAATGAGAAGCACAAAGATTCATCCCAAAGTTTATTCGTATTTGTAAGACAGACAGACCTGTCGTTCAGAACGCTCACTATCATCGCCTTTTATAACCAAATGATCAACAGATGGGTCAATGATCCTATTCCAGGGCTTCATAGTAAGAATTGCAGCAAATAGTGCATATAGATCCTCTCCAGCACCCAATTTAACACTGTTTTCCTTTATTGCATTAGCATCAGAAAAAATCAATGCCTGTGATAGAAATAGTAACATCAGAATGAAAGCATCGAGCCACTCAAAGTGGAAGATATAAGTGAATGAAAGATGGAAGATGGAAGTAATAATGCACCTTCCAAAGGGCAGCATAGTTAAACCTAGTCGTGAAATCAAGTTCTTTATATAGACCATGGTCCAAGAGTACCAACTGCGGTTTTCTTTTGCCTGTACAAAATGGGAAACTTAAGACATCAGTGTTTCATGAACCAACTAAATGCAAATAGTTATACATACAAATGGCTAAAAAAGAGAATATTGCACAGAGAAAGTTCTTTGATGTCCATCACTAATCAATGGATATGAAAAGCTTTGAAGAGTAGTTTCCATGAACAGCGAGCATGTAACGTGCAAGAGACCTAAGCATTCTCTTATGATGGAAATATAAAAACCCAACCAACACCGATACAAAGCCCGCTGTCCCTTACCCTTTCCAATAAGAGGAAGAGACAGAGGTAGTTAAATGGATTTCTCTTCAGCTTGCGCATGAGAGCATTTCTTGCCAAAAGTAGCCAGCATTTTTACAAGCTTTCTATTCCATAACATTACTTAGCAAGTACTGCTTGAGGCAAATTAAACCATTCAAATTTTAAACAGCTTATCAGAAATAAGGTACCTGCTGGCAGTTCCTAGAGTTGTACAAGTCCTGCACACTGAAATCCCCTGATTTAGGTGCTTTGTTAGTCCAATAATGCACATAAACATCTTGAGAATTTTAGGATGACCTTTCAAGTAGTATGTGTATACATAAAACCAGAAATTTCGAAGTGATTGTGTGCAGTTAATATTTTCCTGGATTCACCCTGTAAACTTCTATTGTTTTGTTACACTTGACTGAATCAGATAAATGAAGGCATTAAATCCAAGATGATTAGCACAAGCTTCAAAGCTAAGCAATTATTAATGAATAGTAAGTTGGCGTTGATTTCCAGCAGTGTTATAATAGTTCACCAGCTACCCTGCTCTAGTGGTGTAAAAATTAAATGCTAGGAGCTGTACCTACTAGGACAAAAGATATTGGAGCTAGAAACTTGTTGCTAAAACACAGGGGATATACATAATCACAAGCATTAAAACAAGTAAGGGACAAAAACGAAATGGAAAAATAAACTAGCACTAACTGCTTCCTGATGGCTGATGAAACTGCTTAAGCAGCTGACCGACCAATGCAATTTTACAGAAATGGTCAGAGACAATCTCAGCATAGAAAAGCCTCACCTAGAATGCTCCGTTTACCAGATGGCAAAGGCCGAACTATCAAGTTAGCAGCATGTGGGTCACAATGCACAAATCCGTGTCTGAAAATCATCTCAGCAAAAGCTTGACTAACCTACAAAATAAAAGTGAACATTGTCTTAATGTCACCTCAAAAAACTAACTTGTCAAACTTTGCAACTCAGAAATCTACTGTTTTTCTTCTCAGTATACACGTATTAGTCATTGAAAATCAAACCAATGGTTCAGTAACAATAGACAGCCTTCAAACAAGCTCACAAGCTGAAGTCAATTTATAACAACATATGTCATCCCTTCAGCGAAAATGGATGAACCACATCCTGTCTTGTTTGTTGGAGGTCCGTAAACAAAAATGGTAAAAGAATTGGCTGCCGGCCAAAAAGAACAGATTTCAAGTTTCAAGAGTGGCCAGTTCAAGCACAATGCTGAATATTAAAACCAGAGCCAGGCCACTTTTCCCAAGACCCTGCTTTCAAGCCATAGCTTAATTTTAAGAATACTTTAGATGGAAATTTATCAAATCATGTTGACCTCTAAACCAATAAAACAAGCCTGAAATGTCAAAGCTGTGAGCTTACTAATGTTGCAACTTCACTAGGCTGAATCCCAAGTTTTCGTACGGTCTTCACATCGTTCACATGTGCACCATCCATAAATTCCATGGTTAATAGCTTTGAAGTACTTAAATTCCAATGCACCGTTGGTGCATAAACATATTCTGCAATATGAGGAGATAGCTTCCGGAAATTCTCCAAACACTTCTCACTATTCTTGGCCTCAACCAAAAAATCCAATTCCTGAAGGCCATGTGCAAAAAGAAAAAAAAAATCATGGTCGATTCTGATAAGAGTGCATCGAAATAAAATCACAGAACATGTATCAAGGTTACAAGAAAAAACTATGTATTATTCATCTATTAATGTTCCTTAACAAAATAAGAGCATATCTAGCCAAAAATTTAGCCAGTGTTTTGAAAACCAGCCCTGTCATTGAACGGAAAAAGAAAAGGTCAGGGGCTAAAAGTTCATCAAGGTTTAACCAAAGGGTTAACCTGATGGCACCAACATGACACAATAATAAGGGCTCCTGTATTTATTGGTCTACATAGACAATTTTTCAGTCAAAACTTCTCTAAGTTGAACATTTGACCTATTAGTCCTAAAGTTCCATGATCTTCGATACCTATAAATACTTCTGATTTGCAAATATTATGATCTGATAACTACAAAAGAATGGCAGTTCACTTCCAATAAATGAAAAGAACAGCAAAATTTTATTTTCATTTAATTATAGTTAGAGACAAGTAGCATTCTATGCTAAAGTGTGCAACAGATATATATTGTAGACTTGAATAGCAACCACAGCAGCATCTAAACGGAAAAGAGGGGCATTTATGAAGCTTTAACTTAAATTCAAGTTAACTTTGAGAAAGTAAAAACCAGCAAGTTGCAACCAACTATGAACAGGCCAAGCAGGTTTATTTTAAAGAGTGATTAGGCATGCACTTTATGTTGCTTTTGCAAATTTCAGAATGACTTTGTGCATGTAAAAAATACTTGAAGATCTAAAAAGTTTCAGAAATTGTTAAACCTACTTGCCTTGGGTAAACTTTCACGAATTTCATCAACCAACCATCTGCACATGCAATCCAAGGAAATTTCAATGAACAATAGCTCCCCAAGACCATGAGCAGCCACTTATAAACAGATAGGAGAAAGGAATATCTACACACTTAAAAAAGAAAAAAAGTGTATCTCATATAAAACCAAATTTCGAGTGCAATGTGGTCATTTATCATGTGTAAGTAATATGCCAGATCTCCAAAAGGTGAACACCTTGTCATTAAATGCAAACACAAGTAAATATCACATAAGTATGGAACCATCCATGATGCTACCTGTAATCAAAAGAAGGGAAAACCCTATGTAGGGTATTCACAATTAATTCCACTGTGGCACGATCTGCAGTGGCAGTATCTGTCATGTGAGTGTGCTGAACCTGAATATCCATGGAATAAAACATAAAACAAAGGTTAGAAGGTAAACCCCACTAGTTACTTCCTAAATGTAAATGCATTCACATGAAAACTTAATTGCTCCAAAACATACAAAACTTATTTTCAATTAAAAGGACAGCAATGAAGACCTTCACAGCGACTTTTTGGCCGTCATGTGTTCGAGCTACATGAACTTGTGCAAGGGAAGCACTTGCTATCGGAACAGGATCAAATTCTTCAAAAATCTGCATATAAAAGGACTTGATTCAGCACATGCGAATCCACGTCTCCATCCCAAAATATATATATATATATATATATATATATATATATATATATATCAACGTTAACCAATGATACATACTTTATCTGGTCCCTCTCCAAGCTCTTTCTTGAAAACCTCACACACTTGATCATATGAAGAAACCGGACATTTGTTCAGCATTGACTCCCTCATTGTTTGAACATACTCCTCAGGTATTAAATATTCCTGTATGAACAATAAACTTATCATCTAATACTACTTACGACTGATTAATTACTCAATGGCCAAATAACCCATCTCACACATTAAATTGACAAAGCAGATACTATATTTAAATTCAATTTCATGCATGCTCAAGGAAGCAGACTAAAAGCATACCAGCTGCCCAAGGTGTTGCCCAAGCTTAATATATATTCCCCCATTTTTAAAACACAGTTCTTGAAGTTTTTGCGCAGACCTTAAGTGAACTTCATGTTTAACTTTGGCCCTCTCAACACTTCCTTCCGACAACCCCCAGAGCGAGTATTCATAATCTATCAACAAAACACAATAAAGACGGCATCACCACTATAAATTCATTACAACAATTTTCAATATCCAACAAATAAATATTTCACAAATTTAAAAATTTTAAAAATATCTAAAAAATGCTACTGTACATCACCGCATAGAAGATTTACAATTACAAATTATCAAAATAAAAGTTTCACTGGTCACAAATATCAAAATTCTAGCGCTAAGTGCTAAGTGCAAAATCTAAGCCAAAATTGAGAATTTAACAAGTGAATCGTATTTCTCTGGATTGATGATTAAGGGAAGAGAATTTTCGTTTGAAGATATATATATACCAAAAGCAATAAAGGCGGCAGTGACGGTGTCGCGATAGAGGCGGGTAGGGACAGCGGTGCAGAGCTTCAGAGCAGTCGCTGGATCCTCGGAAGTGGCCACGGTGGCTGCGGCACCGCCAGTAAGAAGCGCAGTGGCTGCCACCGCGAGCTTCCCTCGGATGCGCCACAATGATCGCGTGGCCATACTCCCTGTGTTTTCTTAAGTTCGAGGAAATTGTAATACAGATAGAGCACGGTCCTCCCGGCAACCAAACGAAGATAACGCTCGATGATCCAGCTGTAGAAGCCAAAACAAGCTTACTTGCAATTACGGAAAATATCCTCCATTTTTCTTTTCTTTTCGAATTTAGCCGTACCGTTAATTTTATCAAGGTTTCTTTAAAATTAAATTAATAGAAAGAATTAGACAGGTCACATGACCCTGTAATAAAACCACTAATTAGTTTTAATAAAACATTTTATATTCGTCTTCTTCTATGCAAAACTATGCTATATTTTGGATCGAATTTTATAAAATAACAGCAGATTAAATAATAAATTACTCTCTTGAATTTTACAAAATGAATTAATGGTACCAATTACTAGTAATTAATTTTTTTATTAATGTTAATAAAATTTAATTCAATATCATTTTGTTCACATATGTTTTACTTTTCGTTTCATTGATCTTTTTATATTATTTACTTTTTTATTTATTAAAAAAATATGAAATAAACAAAAATCATTAATTAATTAATTTTTTTAAACTAGAAGGATTTTTAATTTGTCTAACAAAAATCGAAAAACTAATTTATAATTGATGAGCCAATTTAAAAGCCAAAAAAATTGAAGAAAGCAAACCTCAAAATTGTTCATTCAAAACTAATTAGAGTGACTGGGCACTTCTTAGCCCAAAAAACAAAATCACTAACGCATGTTCCAGAAAACCCGTTAACAAGTATCAAATAAAAAAAATAACCCGAAAACTGGCCCCAAGCTCACGAATATCACAGAGCTAGCAGAACTGTTCTCGTTCAGTTTTCATTTTATAGATAAACAAAACCAGCTTAACCTTTCCGATTCGTGAAGGTGTCAATGCATGCAACTGCGTCACTAGAATCAGCCTTTTTTTTAATTTCTTTTTATCATCGCAAGTAGAATTAGCTTATTATATAATCAACTATAGTTAAATTCTGTAGAAATTTGCACCAAAAAAAACTCGGCAGAAATCCAACTGACAGTTCGACCGCATTGATTAATCATATCAAAAGAAAACAAAATACAAGGTTTTACTGCAACATAACTGCTTGCAGTTCAGTAAAGCCTAACCAACTATGGTTCAAAAAAACAAAAAACAAAAAAAAAGTTAGCTAATCGACAAGCTATGATGTCACAACCTGTGAAGCAATTCCTCGGATTCTCCAACTACCAATAAATCTGATCTCTTTCCAATACAAACCAAACAATACTAACACAGATAACTACAAGATGGATTTTCTGTTGTTCTGTCTTTGCCAACATTTTGGATAATTCAAATCAGCAAAACAGAACGTTGAAAATCCAAAGGGATATATCAGCAGAGACTGACCCTCTTTCTTGCATTCAAGGATGGTTTACTTTTCAATATCTCTGTTCGACTCCTGGTCAACTGTCAGTGTTGACTTGACAAGCACTTGCGACGTGATCTATATGCAACGTTGCTAAAAATCAAGGGCGCCGCTTTTGGAGGACCCAGAACAGCCACCAGATGTCCCATATGAAGTCCCACTCGAACCATCAATAGGGGCTTGGTTTAGACATTCTAAAACTAGAAACCGTCGCTTTTGCAATTTTATTGAGAATGTTGTCGCCTCAAGAATCATGGGAACCTGTGGAAAATTCAAAACAGCAGAACTGTGTAACCCTGAAGTTATGATGACAAAATGGAATAAGGTCTTTGGAAATGACCCAAGTTCTCAGTCAAACAAAAAATTGCAAATTTGAGCTACTATTCTACATGGAACTTTCAAAGAGAAGAAACAATGGGAGTTCTGAAATATTAGGTGTGGCAGGTAAACATGGCTCGTTCAATTGAACTTGCATATTTAGTGGGTGTTTGGTTTAGAGGTTGGTTGTGGCTGTAGCTGTGGATGTAACTGTAGCTATGGCTGCGACTAGATACGAAAGTGTTTGGTTAACATTTGCTGTTGACACTACTGTTAGGAATTAAATGACAAAAAAAGGACAGGTATTATTTTGATTTTGATTTAGTGTTAAAAGTGATAGTTAAGAAGATTTCTTGTTTATCATGTTTGATATTAGATCCAAATGCATTAAAGAAATATTATTGTAATATATCATATTAGTATATAATATCATAGGATATCTACTTCCATAAAGATATTATTTTGTTATTATATATGGTGAAAGTTCAAAAAAATAATAAAAAAAATTACAGTGATAATTCATGATCAATCGAAAAATATGCAAAGATAGTGAGAAAATTAGAATAAAATTCACGAGATCAATGTCCTGCCTAAAAGCTACAGCACATCATTTTTAGATTGAAGTTTGACTATACAACTAACATATTATAGGCATTGCACATTGTTTCTAAATTGTAGCTGTGGAAAAACCAGCTGCGTTTGGACCCACATTGTGGTGAGCTTTTAGCTCCAACAGCAGCAAACAGCAAATATACCCTCAATCCCAAACGGACCTTTAGATGAATAATGGTATGTAGGGTGGTGGTGATGATAATTTACAAGGAATTAAACTATTTCCAGGCCAACAATTGAGTTCAACATGCCTTAAGCTCAACAGTTCATAGGCTTAGGTCCATAGGTGGCCTCTTTTGATGTGTATCTGTGCATATAATCCTGCATGTCTACTTGCTGACTTTAGAAGCCCATGGATCACAAAGTGGAGAATACCCGTGGCATATGATTATGGCAAAGCACACTAATATTGTACCTGAGTATTGATACGTGCTATTTTGTGCACATTAAGGAAGCCAACCATGTCTTGGTAACCAGTCAGGAGTTTTCCCAATTCCCTGTCCTCGTCTGGGAAAAAGCACTTGTTCAGAAGTTTAAAAAAGTAAGATAAACAAACACAAAAGCACATGTGAAAATCAATAAACCTGGGATTGCTTTGACAGACAGTAACACATCCGCCATGTGCTGCCATCTTTTACAGAAGGATGGCGAAAGAAGGGAAGGTGGAAATGTAATAACAGCAACTGCATTTGCAGATCGTAGCATGCTTTTGAGAGATCTTATGAAGGAAAGCATATCCCAGTCCTGCAATATAACATTAGTTAACAGAAGTCTTGTACAAGTCACAAAAAAGAATCATGATGGATTTTTATATAAAAAGAAGAAAAATGGCAATCAAGATTCTTTCAAATATTAAAAAAGGTCAAAAGACAAAATTAAAACAATTTAGAAAACTTTACGAAAGACGAAAGGGACTGGAACAGTCTAAATTAAAGCAAATCATAAACAAAAGTTGTGAGGAGATAGGGTTCGAGTGCAAAATTTATTTGCCACTGACCGTGTCTGAATATTCACATTGTGGAGCACATAGCGCCTGAATGGCAATACGACCCATACAAGAAAAGCTTCCATCATTTCTGGAGATAATAACCAACAGATGGTAAGAATAATACGCAAAAAAACTAAAACAATAGCTAAATCAACAAGAAACTCAAAACAGAGCGTCAAAGATAAAAATTATAGTGGTCCAGACACTGTCATCTCAAACAAGCCTAAAAACAGGAAATAGCTTCAGAAGCTTTCCAATCTCTTCGTGGAGAAATAAGCAAATGAGGTATAACAAATAAATGAAGAAATATGAAATTATTTAGCATGCTAAAACTATTTCTTAAAGTACCACACACTTAAGCACAAGCATGTATGGTCTTTTCCCATTCTATTTGCAGAGAAACATGCAAGATGAAGTTTAACAATAAATGAAGAAACATGAAACAAAATTGGCAGCATGCTCAACCATTTCCCATATAACTATTTCTTGAACGCACTCACTTGCACACCTGGATGCACAAGCTTATATAGGCATGCAAGCATAAACAATGTCCCCAATCAAGATGGTCAAGCTATCAACATATCTTGCAGACCTTGTTCAGATGTTTGACGTTTGTTAAAATCCAAAATGCGTTTTCTAAAGATATCTGATTAAGAAAGCATAAGGTATTACCTTGGAAATTGAGCTAAAAATGTGGCACAGCGGTCATGAAGAGCGGTCAGATTAGGAGAATCCTTGATGCTGACACAGTCTACACGCTGCCCACTGTAAAAATGCCTCTCCAATGGTTTCCGCAAGTCAAAATCATTGCAAAACTCTTGCTTACTATCTGCAATATAGCAACATAAAGGAGCCAGACTTATATTTTTTGCATTGCACATCTTCTTTTCCTTTTAAGCATTATAGCATAAATGCCTGAAATTGTTGATAACTAAAAGTAATCGCATCCTTTTCATCAAAGCTATGAAGTACAGCCTAGCGAATGTGCACGCTCAGAAAAAATATTTATTCTGGCCAGACTTGCTTGAAAAATATTCAAAGATTGACTTTGTACAATTTATCTAGTAATCAATTCTATGCAAAGATGCAAAGCATGATTAGCGTATTAAATCTACAAATGAAATGAAATGAGAAAAAAAGAAGCAAGCTCACCTCTATGACCATCAATATTTTGCTGATTTTCACTGAAATACTTTTTATACTGCCAAGCAATTCTCAGTCCCTTCTCCTGCAATTAGTTAGATACGCAGTCCAAACTCATTTTATTGAAATGGAAAGAAGAAAAAAATCAAACAAATAGAAAAGAATCTTCATGGTAGAAATCAGTGTGAAAAAAACAAAAAAGAAGCACCTGTTCTGTATCATGATTACGGGATTTATCGTCTTTAGACGATGAGGGGCAAGGCAAAGTACCCAAAAACCCTCTAGGGTCTTTAGCTGGACTGGCATAAAGAAGAAGTTGGTTTTGAACAAGTCCTTGAGACATGAAATTCCTCAATAAAAGCATGTGATGAGGCGCTTCCGCATCTTCCATTATCATAACTAAGCTTCCCAAAGTAAACCCACCACCCAATATCTCTACACAAGATAAAAGAAAGGAACACTCAAAACAAGATTGATTCGTTGGACTGTTGTTCACAGAATTCTCTCTACAGTAAGGGCAGAAAGTAAAGAAATGCAACGTAGAAAGATTACTGTCAAGGTCAGGTATCCCAGATGAAACAAAGAATGTGCCATTAGGACCACACTTTATTCCTGGCAACTGAGGAGCAGACACAGCTGATATGTTGCGAGAGAAGCTGCTTATTCGAGTCTTAGTCGCCGCCATTGCAAGCTTCACTGAGTTAAAACTCTCTAAACAGAAAAGCAAAATGCAGCTCTGTTAGGTTTATAATACTGGCATTTCCTTTACAAGCCATGAACAGTTGTTAACAGAACCAAGTACAATCATAATTGACATGAACTTTTCATCGAACAGCTGGTGTGCATTATAAAGAGTTTAGTAAGTCCGCAATTTCCAGTAGAAATTCATCAAACAGCTGGTGTACATTATAAAGAGTTTCGTAGGTCAGCAATTTCCAGTTGAAATTTAAGGATGGCTCAAAAGTCCAAAAATTAAAGTTTTTGAACAATTGGTATTGGTGCTTCACTATCGTTCGAGCTGATAAAAACGATACTCCATACGAAAAGAATTAAAAAGAAAAAATTGAAACAGTAAAGTGTGTAAAACAGCCCAATACAGAAGTGATAAAACAAAATCCAGTGTTTCTCGCAAGACAGAAGTGATAAAACAAAATTCAGTGTTTCGTTCTTACTCCCTTTCCCTGTCTCTCAGCATCCAAACAGAGACTTCTTATTGCGTGGGTTCAACGTTTCACCTCGACTTGGCTCTCTCGACGTGCCAAGTTCCCTGTAGACATGTAGTCTTTCTGTCTTCAAATCCTTTCGAGTTTCGGTCGTCGGCGGTTTTTCCACAAACGGCTGCCGTTTTTCTTTTTGCGTCTGATAGCACCTAGCAGTGCGCAAAAAAAATTATGGGAGCTCGGCCCGTCTTACAAAATTACGCAGGCCCTTCTTATAGAATGGGCTTTTTACTATGGGCCATGAGACCCATATGAGGTTTTTTTTTCGGGTTTTTAGGGATCTTCAACCAGATTTGAAGCACAGATTTTAGGGATATGAAAATTTTGGGCGAAGACTTTAGATTCTCTTCAAACATTTCTTTTCTTTTTTCAAAAATAAATTAAAAAAAAAAGAAACAAAAACTAACCAGACTACTACCTGAACCGTTTGATCGAGGCTCACAGGGTCTGGCGGATGAATTCGCCCAGTTATGACTTGTTTGGAATGAGCTTTATTCCTTTCAAACAAGCAATTCCTTTTGTTCCCATGTTGGAGCACGTCAATGACTTAATTAACAATAATCCTAGTGCTGCTCTCCTCGTAGATATCCAATTTCCTAAGGAAAATGATCAGCTCCTTATCACATCTACACAAGATTTTGAGTTGACAAAACCATTTGGAATCCTATTTAGGGCATACAATAAAAGTATGGTTCTCCTCGTGCAATGCCATCGCCGACGTCATTGTATTTTGTTTACTAGTAAAATAAAAATCACTAAACACAGGTGACGTATAAATAAATAAATAATGGGAGCAACAAAAAAAGAAAAAAAAGGCAAAAATCAGCATGTTCAGTCCTGATTCGTGCCAACCCATTTTTAAAAAAAATAGGTCATCTCTTGTGCATGACTGGGAGCACCTAATTTGTTTCCATTTTCCGAGCAGGTGCAATGAGATGAGATACACCCCTCGCAAGCAGAATAAATTCCTAAATTATAAGTAAAATAATCGATCAAATAAATAGTGGTAAATGAGTGTGTAATGTTGTAATGTGTGATGTGTGATGTGCTGATTTTCCTTTTTTTCCCTTTGCTTTCTAGAAAGCCAAACAACATATGATAGGAAAACATCATATTCATTCATCCCAATTTCTCCGCGTGTAGTACGCGTGTGTACCCAAATCTGTAGGAAGGGGTCACGCTTTTCTCCCCTTTCTTTCTTGTTCTCGGATGAAAGGGGCCACGATTTTTATTTTTTCCTTCTTGTAGGGATGTACTTTTGTTGTGGTTTCGAAAAAAGATTCTATCTTTTTTTTCTGTTACGCATACGTGGCACGATATAACTTGAATAGCTTAAAGAACAATCCAAATGGCTAGGATATTGTCCTAAAATCCATCTTTTACCCCTCCTGGAAGCTTCCCTATAATTTCTTATCTTCTGACAAATGTGAGATGTCGTTGGCCTAATATTTTTCCTTCTTGTGCATGGTTCCTTATTTTTGTTGTAATGAATAGGTTATTCCAAATATTCCTTAAGAAGGGAAAGAAACTTCCACATCAATAAGCTGCCAGAGCCAAATTCGCAACTTAACGAATAAGTATCGAGCAAATGATTTGTCCATGCGTTTGTATCCAAATCTAAGATTTGGGCCAGATTCACAGATAATTATTTGGTTGCGGTTTGCAACAGGTACGTGAGTTGGTGCTTTGGTGATGAAAAAAGACTGCTTTCTTCGGGGAATTCGGTCCAATTAACTAGGTAAAAAATCACTCGTGGATCAGATTGATGAATTGAACAAATTATAAAAACAGTGGTCATGAGCCTGTAAAGCCACCTGATTGACAGGATATGTAATTTGGTGATACTTTCCCAACCCAAACTCTCCATTGATATCGGTCGCCTTTGACTAAGACACATTTCGACTTAACACGTAAGCCTCATGGGGCCACATTTATAAAATGTCTGCTCTAGAAATCTAGAATTGGTCACAGCGTATGCAAGATTTGACTCGTTACCCGGCTAAAGGCGGCTCCTAAATGCATATAGCCGTATCGTATTTACTTTAACTACTTGGCCTATAAGCTAAATATCTTCACGAGAAAATCGAAAATAGTGTGAATCAGACGTATTCCGGTTTTGACTAAAAATTGAGCATAATAAAAGATTCTTAGCAACTCGACCAAGGAAAATGTTTTGCAGTTTTTTAATCATGATACATGCGATTACGACTCTAAGGAAAAAAAAAAAAAAAAGGGGTGCGATTACGCAAGACGGAGATGGTTAATTTTATTCTATAATTTACAACTGAAATTTCGTGAGCTACCATGTTTATCCTCTTCTCTTGCTCTCTCTTTCTGGTTAAGTATCCTATCCTGTAATTCTATTGTTTTGGTTTGTAAGCAATGATATAATAAAGGGCACAAATTTTATATTTACGTGTTATATATATTAAAGAAACATATGGTATGGAGTTGCTAACCTGTACAGACTACACGGCTTGGGTTTGTGCCATAATACATGGCTATGGTACTGGCCTTTTGAAGCTGCGTGGAGTGGTATAAACCTTTCATGATTGGATGACCTTCCAATTGCATTGGCTGTGTTGACTTCTCAGTTCTCACGGTATGTCAAGGCACTGTGCAATTATAGGTACAGGATAGTTTTTTTTTTTTTTTTTTTTTTGGCCCTTTCCATCAGGATTTGAGTTTTGATAGTATTGTCCTATAGGTGCAATTAGGGATGATAATTGACCAGATTAGAATGTTTTTTCCTATGTAACTATCTTTAACAAAATACTTACAAACATCATCAATTTTTAATTTTGTCGCGCGGATTAGATTAGATGGATAATTTTGCCCACCCTTTAATTGTTAGATCCGATCTAGATTTTTATTCATAGATAATTGTTAATTACTACATAAACTTTCCATCTTAAATAATTAAAACATAAAAAATAATAGATTTCCATCCAAAAATCTTTAACTAAAATTATAAAATAAAGTCTAAAACTGAAATATGTGCATAATAAATCTATGTAAAAAAAAAAAGAAACAATAATAAAAACATCAGGTTGAGTGCAAGTTTAACAAAAAAAATAGAAGAAACTTCACTTACTGTGTTGAGTTTTGACTTGACATGTTTTTATTTATGTCCGATAGAATAAAACTTCAATTAATAAAACTAAATGATGTCGTATATTTAATAGAAATTGTCATCCTTATATATAATGGAGAATAATCCCTTCTATCACTCCAATTTTCCTCCACTTAACAAGATTGATCCTCTAGAACCTTAAAGTTAAAATTCTAAATTTTCACAATTGAAATATCCTCTTGAAAATACAGCTTTAGAGCTGCTATTGTATTGGCTGGCAACTTAAAATATCACAACAACATGCAAGTGAACATACATAGGCTGCTTTAAATTCTTCTTCTTCTTCTTATTTTCAAAAAAAGAAAAAGAAAAAAGATAGCCCTTGAAATGAAATGCATAAGCTTCATGAGAAGGTTTGGCCTACTTCTTTCATTGGAGAAAAAAATCCATCATAAGCTGGTAAAGATTATAAACAAAGTTGAATTTTAGAAAAACAAATAATTTCATTAGCATCGATAAATAAATCAAAACAAAGATGATCAAGTAAGCCAGTCCCCAAACCATAAGCATTGTATCATGATCATATATAAAATCGTGAAAAAAAAAAAAGAAAAAAGCATTGACATAATTGAAAGATTACAATTCCTTGGTTTAATGTCACTTTTGTATCTAGGATAATTAATTTAATTTTGCTTTCTAATTTAATTAGAGTGTCATGACATGCCCTCACCGTTCCAAACTTTCTCATTATACCACCGTCGTAATTTTTCTATAATATTTTGTAATAAAGTAAGTCTACGTGGGCTCGTGGGATGCGTGCGAAACCTGGAGTAGTCACCTACCTAATCAAGAAGAATTAAAAAACCCTAAATATACTAATTTGTATAAATATCTAGGTAAGAGGATTGGTTACGTATGAAAAAGATATAGCATAATCGTCATTCCGTCCTACTTGAAATAGGCTGCATTATTTGCATGTGAAAAAAAATCGATTTTACTATGCTATGCTTCTATGCCTATTTGAATGAATTTATTTTATTATGATGAAATAACAGAATAATTCGAGGTCTAGGTCGGCTCGAGACCGAGTAACCATATTAAAAAGGAAAACGTGGAGAAACTTAGAATTTTGGCTAATCTTTAGGGAATACGACCTATACCAATAAGTAGGTGAGTTTCTAAAAATTTATAGCCTTTTTATTAACACGAACAACAAGTCACCGACAACCTCACTCGTACAAGTGAGAAACCACCAACTACTTTGAGTCATGAATTTAAGAAGTTACCAACAAGTTCATCACATGAGTAAGAAGCCATCAAAAACTTCATTTCGCTCTAATAAAGAGCGAGTAATTAGTTTGAAAGCCACTAATGACTTTGTCACATAAGGGAGAAGTCATCGATGACTTCAATTCGGACAAACAGACAACAAGTAAAATAATTTTTGAACCACCGACGGTTTCGTCACATAAGTGGGAAGCCACCGATAGCTCAATTTCAAAAATCAAAATTTAATAAAATTGGTTCAAGAGACACCAATAAAGTCCATCTATAAAAGTGAAAAGCCACCGACGACTTCATTTCGGACAACAAAAAAACAAGTCAAATGTTTCGAAAGTCGTAGATAACTTCGTTTACATAGGTAAGAAGCCATCGACAACTTCATTTCGACAAACAAAGAGATAGATAAGATGATTTGGAAGCTATCGATGGCTTTAGGTAGCTTCGACCATATAAGTAGGAAGCCACCAACAACTTCATTTCGACAAACATGCAACGGGCACACACATCTCAAACATAGTCAAACATAATATTTGATAGTACAATAATTCACGACACAATTTTTTCACCATCTATTCATCATTTTAAACAATTCAAATAAGCGTAGGAATTACTCAAACATCGTGAGAATGTTAGAAGTCCTTTCATTTGAATCGATTTTATTTCCTTCAATCTCGATGAAAACCGATTATTTTAGTCAATCGAGAAGGAGGAAGCAACTATTTGTAGGTGTTGAGGAGGCTCGCTATACGGTGATTTAAACGCCACTAGTCAATTGTGAAATTTCCAAAATATCCATGCACATAAAATTATCAAAATGCCCCTACAAGATGAAACATCCACTATTAACTCGCTCGATCATTGTCCGGTGGTCTTTCCGGTGCGTTAACTAGCTCGCGTTATAGATGAGGTCGTTTCAAACTCAACGGTTATGGTGGCGGTCGTTGTCGACATCGAAGGAGGGAGATTGAAGGCTCTAAAGTTTCGACTAGACTTCCTCCTCTTTTCGACAATGATTCTAGCAATGTTAGGAGATTTTAAGGACACTAATCGACTCATAAGATTGAGGATAGTATTTTTGTGGTGGTTAGGGGATCCAGTTTGGCCTTAATTAGTCAATTTTTCTTGCTTGCATAAAATGGATCGAGAAACAAGTCATCATCAATTAGTTCGTTTTTCGATGACTTTTGATCGCGATTCTAAAGAGGGATTGCTTAGGGGAGTTAAATGACCATGTCTATGGTGATGGTAGTCGGTGGTTTGGTCAAAATGGCAAGATATGATCGGATTGCCAAATGAGTCGAGTCGTGGTGGTTTTAGTTTTGATTTATCCCTCCTCCGATTGCCTTTCCTCCTCTAACCGGTGGGGATGGGTTATCCATTGATGATGGCGATTGAAGGGTAGCCAATTGAATAAAAGAAGTTCAATGGGTTTAGCAGATAACCCGATTAATTCTTCAAGTTGTTAGGGTTCCTTAGGGGATGTTTGGCTAGGTTTTTAGGTTTTTTCTTTTGTTGGGATCCGTGTCTTCCTTTAATGGCTAAGGAGTTGGGTATTTATAGGAAAAATTTATAGTTTTGGACAAACATTATTTTTGTTCCTTGGTTTTTTCCAATTTTTGATTTTGATATAATTTTATTTGCTTGGATTTTAATTATACTTCTTAATTAAAATCAATCAAGATCTCTTTTTTTTTAATTTTTTTAATTGTATCCAAAAATCATTTTTCCCAAATATTTCTCCTTCCTTTTCTTTTCTCTCTTTTTTTTTTTTTTGTATTATTATTATTTTTTTAACTCACAAATCAATTAACTTATTTGGGGTAAAATTTGGGTGTTAACAAAGTAAATGGAATTCGAGCTATTTGCTGAGCATTTTATATCTTCACAGGATTAAAAAAAATGAAGCTATTTATTTCCAAAAATGGTAAAAAAAAAATAATAAGAAGAAGAAAAAATGGATAAAGTTTTCCCAAAGAAGCAAAAGCAGTTGAAAAATTCCGGGCAGACGTCAATCATTCACCAACTCCCATCTGCCCACCCATGAGACAATGCAGGTATATCAATGTGCATTTTGTTGTGGACGGACTTTTGCGCTAAATATTTTGTTTTGGTCATATTAATTCATTCAATTGACAAATATTGGCTAGTTCGTTCAGAACCTTTTCTCTTGAAATTCTGAGGGTACGTTGGTAATGTACTTTTAAAAATCATTTATCTCAACTTCTTTCATATGACTTAAAAGCAGTGGAAAAAAACTTTTCAACATGTATCTGGTTAAAGTCTTGATTGAACCAATTAATTAATTACTACATTTGCCCTTGACGTTTTGCAATCAAGGGATTCGGCGGTGGTGTTAAATTGCTCCACTTACATGGCTTCTAGACTATTGAATTGTAATTCCTCTATATTATATATATTTGTGTGCGCTGAGGAACTTAACAGATGGCATTGACCGAAGAGGGATAGAAGGTCATTTTATAATTACCATTGCAATAAAAAGGTAGGGAAATTAGGGTGGATTCCTTCAACCGTAGGGTATTTATACACCGGTAATCAAGGTGCCCAAACAATTGTATAAAGGGTATCTGGCCTTGGATGATGTCACAGCATAGGACAGAATGAATAGTTGGGTGTTTTTTTTTTTTTAGTTGTTAGCAACCAAGGAATTAATCAAATCACAAGTATTATCTCTTTTTTACTTTTTGGCTGCACTTAACTACTCAGAAACTTAAAGAAAACAATATTCAATTGAAATAAGAGAAAAGCCAAAACTGGTGCAAAGAAAAAATCTAAAGATTCGCAAAGATGAACTGTTGCATGTGCTCACATGATCCCACACCACCAAGCCCGCTTGATTGGTTAGAATTATTATATTTACCGATATCATGCAGTCATGTACCGTTACAAAAAAAAATGGTAGTTGAACATAATTTGTTTTTATTTTTTGTTGGAAAATTAGATAAAAAGAAATTAATATAGGTTATTTTTATTTTAGTGTCTATAATGAAAAATCCTAAACATCCAATATATATATATATATTATTTTTTAATGAGAAATTTACTTCTGTTGAACCAGATAGCCGTTTGGACATAATTACTAATAACGCGGTCTTGAAATATTCGATCAATCTTGTCATATTTATAATAAGAAATTTAGACTATCTTTTTTGACATGTGACATAAATGGTGGTTTGAAAAAAAGAAAGGGAATTAATTCTTACTCAATTGTAGAAGAGAAGACTCGAAACTATTGATGCACCCATATTTATATTCCCTTTTTTTTTCCCATCCTTGCAATTATTATTATTATTATTATTATTTAACCCATTGAAACAGCATTTTCTGATTTCTAGAATTTACCTCTTCTATTTTCATTCATATCATGGACAGTAAATTAGATCTAACTCTGTATTTTCCTTGCCAAACCAAAACACTATGCAAACAAAGCCGAGTATTTTTTTTAAAAAAAAGACTTCTACTTCTACGTCTACGTCTACGGCATGCGATAAATAAACAAGCATCAAAACTGTCGTTAATTGTCTTCAAATACATTCTCCTATATAGTTATTTCCGTTAACTTTTTTTTCCTTAGAATGCTATATTTGACCGTTAACAACCGTGTGCAAAGTTCCAAAGTCTTTGTCATCCTTGTCCCAGTAGACAAGTCCAGTCAAAAAAATTGAACCTTTTGGCCTGCAGCAGCACCTTCCTTCAATGGGCAATTAATTATTATTTCAATTTCTCCCTTGAAATATTTTTAAAAATTCATATACCTGAATCATCCCCTTTTAAGCCCTTCCCTCTCCTGACTTTCTCAAAGCCTCAAGTCTCCACAGACTCTCTCTCTCTCTTTTCGATTCTTCTGTGTACATACATAATCTGATAGACCCTCCACGAATTAGAAGCTGAAGCGACAAAAACTCGAAAAAGAAGAGATGGGTTTTGCAAAAGAAGAGAAATCTAAAAAAGTTTTGAGAGGAGTAAAGACTCTGTTCTTCTTGATCACCATGTTGATTTCTTTCCTTCTTTTCTCTGCTCCTATACTTCTTGTCATAACTGATACTCTTCTTCCCTTTTCCCTCCTTTCTGCCTCTCTTTCTCCTTCTTCTTTATCATTAGAAACTCTCTCTTCTCATTTCAATAACTATGATTTTCGTTACTCCCTCATTGACATACCCCTCATATCCATTATAAGATCAGCTGTCATCATTTGTAAGTTTCATAAACCAATCAACTTTATTCTTCGTTCTACATGTCTTTCCTGCTTTTAATGTTTTCATGGAAAAATTAGTAATCTTTTCTTGTTGTTGTTGTTGTTGTTATAGGCGTTTATAGTTTGTGTGATGGACCAAGGCTCTCAAGAGGACCATACTTGTTGATTACAACGATGTGTTCTGCGTCATCATTAATTTATGTTTCGTTCAAGGCACCACGCGTGTTCAGAGTTTCGAGTACGGATCGAGGAGAGTATGTTAGAGCCATGGAAATTGCCTTGTTTATTTGCTCTCTGCTTCTTGCAATCGGTCATATTGCTGTGGCATATAGAACAAGTTGCAGAGAAAGAAGAAAGCTTTTGGTCTACAAAATTGACATTGAAGCTGTAAGTCTCTCCCTCTCTCCTTTGTCTCTCTTACTGGATCATGACGATGTTGATGATGCTCAAATTTCAAATTATAAATTTATGCGTTGGAGCCAGGCTGCTCCAGCAATTAATTAATTAATTGGAAGCGTTAAAAGATTACAAAAAATGAATTATGCTTACAACTGTGCATAGCATAGGAAGATCAGAATCCTGAGTTGTCACATCCCACTTCATTTGTGATTTAAAATACTTCATTTGTCAATTTATCAGCACCTAATTCAACTGTACAAGGCTTGATTATTTTATCTTCTGGAAGGTCAAAAAATCCCTTGAATCGGTCCTTCTTTCGGTTTTTTTTTTTTTTTTTTGGGGGGGGGGGTGTGAAAAGGGTTTTTGGCCCTTGTAAGCTAATTATACGACATAAACAGAGGAGAAATCACATGCTTAATGTTTGCTGAGGTTTTTTTTTTGCATTCTGAGAAAATCACCTGCTTCTGAGGCTGAAGGAGATCACGTGGTAGTTAATTTGAAAGGTTCAATAACAAAAGCTAACCATTTCATCATTGACTAATACTGCAAGGCTTTGGCCAGTAGATTCTTAGGATTCCTCTCAAAAATCCTATCCCAGGGCACCATGTGCAATATTAGAGCTGCAAATAATTTTAATATATTTGGGGGGAAGGCATGTCACTGTGAGCAAATTTAAATGTTTTTAAAGGTAGCATGTGATCGTAATGTCGATATCCTGTCTATATGTTTTAACGTTTCTCGAGCCATGTTCTTCACTTGGATCCAGCCTCCATATCACCTGGTCAAAAAACCACCATTGGACCTCGTATCCAGAGAAACCGGTCATGGGCAGCCGCTTAGTGATGGATAAAAAATAATAAAATATAAAAAACAAAAATTGACCATATATGATTTTCCTTTTTTGCCGAATTCACAACTGTGCCTACATTTTTTATATCAGAATATGAGACCTTTTACCATCTTTTGTGGAGTATCTGACTCCGTTCATGGGTGTTCCTTCTTTTTCTTTACTGAAACTTTATCCATCACCGAAATCTCATTCCTTTATTCCTTTCACACGAACAAAATTTCCAAATAAAGATTAGTTTTGAAAACCAGAAAAAATGCTTCTAGGATGCCGATTGAGATAAAAAGTGATTGATTATACGCAGTTTCACACTTCTTTTCTTGTCTAATATCAGACTGCTTTAGCAATGTCGCAGCATGCTAAAAATAAGAATGAGTAGTTCTCCAATTTAGACTTAGTTCTTAAGAATTATAAAAACCATAATATGTGACCCGTACCGTCCCTCAATAGGCTGCTTGTGGGAAGGTCAATTTTTTTTCATATCCCCGTTTTTAATTACTAGGTTCACAAACTGCTCTTTCAAGTTAACGCAAATTTTAGTCATTTGAGTTTTATTTAAGGCTTGACAATATTGACAAGTAACACAGCTTAGCCCCCAAGAAAGGCAACAGCATTCAAAGTTTGGCATCAACCATACGCCTTACGCGTACCAATCCAAGTTCCCCACGCCGACTATCAGCTAAAGAATTATCGACCACAAAAATTAGCAGAAATTTTTCTATGTTGAATAAATAAATATGCTTTGATAAAAAAGTAGTAGTTGATGCTGGATTAAAATAGTTCTAACATGGTGTGTGCCATGTGCTACAGGTTTCAGCTTGCAAGAATGTGGTGTTTCCTAGGTATCAGAAGATTCTGCTGGAAGAAAGAGTGAAATGATTAATTCTAACATTTGAAGGACTAACAACAGGAGACTTTTATTCTCTTTTTGGCTGATCAAACCTTCAACATCAGGTTGCAGGTAATATTTAATCTCTCCTTTTTATATATAAGGTCATCTTGTCAGCTTATTAACCGATTTCCATCGTCACCACCCAGTTCATTGAAATTGAGCAACTCATTCAATGTCTGACCCTTTGGCCTTTTTTGGACAGGTTTATTCGAGAAAAATCTGCAACTTGGAGATTGTTGGAGAAACAAATCTAACTCGGCGGCTAGGAAGTAGTAAACAACAATTTTTAGATATGCCATATGTCACTGTTTATGTTATGGCTTGAACATACATACCACTGGTTTTGAATCACTATAGAGGTTATATATATATATATATATGTATGTATGTATGTATGTATGTATGTATATGTATGACTAAAGAATAGATCTACCATGGATTATATTTTCATGTAACAATGTACAGTTTGTTTATTTACAAAGGAAAGGTGGAAGTATTTAGCTAGAAACTAGCTAATCAAACCACTTATTATGCAACAAGGTGTGAGCATATAATGGAGGTCTATTTGGCTTACATTAATGTATGGTACCTTAACTACTTATTAGAAAACGGCCAAGCTTCTCATTGTTTTATCAATCACATGGAAACCTAAGAAAGAAAAAAAAATTCTATAAATTATTCCAAACCTCAATCCTAAACGTTATCAAGAACCATTTTCCGTTATTTGAATTCCTCTGTGATGAGCAATCATTTGGAAATACAAATAATTTATCATCCTCATTTGAAGTTAAGATTACGATTCAAGGAGCTGCATGAACATCACCGTTAATTTTGATTTTCCGGTTAAAGCTGCAAATCATATGCGTTGAGAGCTGAGAGTTGAGAGCAGGAATGGATGACAGTGTCTCATGTCGGCCGAGTTTTAAATTTATTGGTCCTTCTGGACCTCTTTCTATCTATGCTGGACCGCATTTCTGGGCTAAGCCCATCTCTATGTTTCAGTTGAATCCTAAAGTTTCCGACTCTCCTCAAGGAGGACCAAAAAAAAAAAAAAAAAAACTAAATTTAATTTTTTTTAAGAAAAAGAAGAAAAAACCTCCAGCATTATGTCTCATCTTTTGATGTTTCATCTTCCCAAACCAGAGACGAGTTTCCTTCCTCCCGCTCCAAATCGCTCCCTCCTCAGTCCTCACCAGCAAAGCAAGGAAACGAGGAAAAAGAAGAGAACGCAGCGTACAGCAGTGAGCAAGCAAAACAAAATGAGATTCAACTTCGAGTTGACAGAACCAAACCTTGACTCCTCTCCTCGAAAATCCCCAACTCCCAAAGAAGACATCCAATGGGTCCCACTTCAAAACCACCCGCTTTTCACTTCCTCCGCCTCCACCTCACCCGAAGGAGACGGCTCACCTCAACCACCATCTAATCTACTAGCTTGGGACGGCGCTTCTAGATTATATTACTGGGATTCAAACCTCCGTTGCCTCCATCGAATTTCAATTCGGCTTGGCGATCCCGAACCTTCCTCGGTCCTCGCTGCCTTACCCTCTAAGGTAATTATGCTTGTTTCCGTAGCCAGCTTAATTTTAATTGTGATTGCTTCTCCGATTTTAAAGTGCTTAATTACTGTTTGTTTTACTTTATTTTTTATAATTAGGTATTGCATACAGATGTGGAGGTTAATTTTAAGGTTAATAAAATTTCTATAAATAGAAATGGCTCTGCTCTGCTTCTTTCCGGTGCCAATGGTTTATGTGTTATGTACCTTTATGGACGCTCTTCTGATAAAGATAACTCCATCATTTGCAGGTATATTTTTAGAATTTGATTTTTTTTAAAAAAAAAATAGTTTAATTTTCAGTTGGATTTGTTAGTGACTATAATTTTGTGGTTGTGCAGGACTGTTTCCATTGGCTCGCAAATTTATTTTAATGAGAGAAATGTAATACACACGCCAAAAGTTTTGTGGCATCCTTACAGTGATACGCATTTAGGAATTCTTTCTTCTGATTTGGTTTTCAGGTATCACAAATTTCTGTTTCAAACTAAATATTGTTGATTGTTTTGGTTTAGGATTGAAGTAATGTTATTTGTTAGTCAAATTGTAAACACATGACGACTTCCATGATTAAGTTAAACTATTTTGATTGATGTAAAAGTATGGATATTATTGTCAATCATGCTTCTTTCTTGCTTTTATGTTTGACTAGGACTTGCGTTGTTTTTAACTTCTTTCATTTTTTTTTCTTTGGCTAGACTGTTTGATTTGTCTTCAGATGTCCTGCAGCCGGAGCAGGAGTATTATCTACAGCCTGTTGAATCTGGTAGATCCAGGAATGCTGCATCGATCTGTCCTGTTGATTTTTCTTTTGGGGGCGACCACTTGTGGGACAGGTTCAGTGTAAGTTCAGTTTGGAGTTTGGTATTTAATGCACATACTTAATTATGGTATTGCATGTAGCCTTAATGCTGTTCTGCGATGCTTTCCACGTGATATGTTTTGATTACCATGGCAGTTACCCTGGAAAATAGCAATCTTTGTGTGGTTTCGTCATCCTTCATGATGTTGCCTTTTCATCATGTCTGGGTTTGAAGAATGGTATTTTACTCCATGTAGCAGTTTCATCTTTTGTTTATTCCCCTTTTTTGGCCTTTCTGCAGGTTTTCCTATTATTCAGAGATGGTTCAGTTTACATCCTTTGCCCAATTGTTCCATTTGGAAGGTATTTTTTACCTGATATCTTATCACTTGCTCAAATTTTTCTTTGGATACTGTGATGGATAGGCACTCTAGTCCTTTCAATTCTTAACATCTTAATCGTATTACCATCCTGATGCTTTCTTATGCTTGACATTGTTTGATTAGTTATTTTGACCTTTTTTTTCATTATTCTTATTTTTTCTTGTGCAATGATGTGGCCATGCCATGCATAAAATGTCTATTATACATCAAAGAGTACATATTAAACTGCTTCTTTGTATCCCAGATGATTTTTAAATTTGATGTTAAATAAAATCAAGTGCTTTATTGTGGAGCAGTGTCTACAAATGGGAATATGTTTTGGAGATATATAGTGATGCTGAAACATTTGGACCGAAATCAGCAAACCCAGTTGCTGTTAATAACTCGAATATGGCAATCTCTTGGTTGGAGGCAACGTTTCCTGAGTTAGCCCATGAATCAAAGGAGGGGGGATTATCAACACTGAAAGCTCATCCTTATGCTGTATTTGATGCATCACTTTGTTTGCAGGTAATTTTCATTGTATTTCTTATTTTACTTATTCCGCGCATTGCTTATGTTGTATGGTATTCAGAACATCTGGAGTACTCTTGCAAACTGGATTGGACACGAGTATGGCTAAGATTATTTTGGTTGAACATGCTTCTTCCTGACAGCCAACTAATAGACAAATTTGGAAATTTTCCTAATTGCTAGTGTTTCCCAGAATGCTTTCTTAATAAATTATGTTAAACATACAAATGTTATATTGTTTTGCATGCGAGAATTCATCTCTGCATATGCCATTTTAAGGAGTATCTTCCTTATATCTGGTTGGTTATGTTCCAATTTTTGTGTGAAGATTTTAAGTTTTTGCTCAGACCTTGTAGTGTTATTGTAACATCTTCAAGAAGCTAACAAGTTTGTTTTGGTGTTCCAGGGCCCTCTACGCAAAGTATGTCAGGGTGGGGAAGATGAAGACTTAGCAGTTAGGGGTGCAGAATGCGAAGGTCGTGCAGTCAGTTTTCTCTATGATTTAGCCAGCAAAGACTCAATTCTGGTAACTGCCTGGAGTGGTGGGCAATTGCAAATAGATGCCCTCGCTGATGAAATCCAGCCAGTCTGGACAGTTGGTAGTGCACCTCGTCTTCGTGTCAACTCCCACAACCATATTCTTGGTCTTGCAATGCTTTGCGAATCAATCTTGGGTGAGCTTCCTGTTGTGAAGCTTGATCAACCGCATGATCATACTGTCTGGTTAGGTCATCCACCACCTTTGTTGAGACTTGCAATTGTGGACTTGGCCTTACCAAGGAAAACAGAAAGCGGGTCTCATATTTCAATGTTTGTTGATCCCCTTATGCCTGAAAGAATCTATTCTGTTCATGATGGAGGGATAGATTCAATTGTTTTGCATTTTCTTCCATTCACCAGTCAGTCTAGTGGCAAGGATGAGACAGTCCGGACTCCCTCTGTGCATCCTGTCCTTAGCACATGCCAGGTGGAGAACTCTGCACCTTCTCCCCTTTGTGGCTTTTTAGCATTATCAGATTCATTTGGGTACTCATGGATTGTGGTGATTACCTCCAACCAAGAATGTGTTGTGCTAGAAATGAAAACATTGAATTTATTGGTGCCTGTACATGTTGATATGTTGAAGACATCTGCAAGCTCTGAAGAATGGACAAATAGAAATCCTCCAGACATCATAAGCAAAGAACTACTTAGTGGTCCTAAGGTGGTTCTTGTTGCTCAGGGTTCACCAAATCTTCGATCTGTTGCTGCTGATTCTATTGAAGGGCGGTCAACTCTTCATCAGTACTTAAACCTTTTCCATGAAAACTATGTCGAGTATGCACATAAGGTGAGTATCCCCATGGGATATACAGGGTGCTATTGCCTCACTCATTTAGGTCACTTTGGTTGCTGCCTCTTCTTTCTGGACCCACTCGTTGTAATATGTGAAATGGAAGTTGTCATGTACAACCATCAATTGTAAACTATCAGGCAAGTTATAGTAGAATAAAGATGAGTGCACAGTTAAGCCTTGCCTGCTAAGCAGAAAATATTAGAACTTGGCCCATAGGCATATGGTAGATTTCGTTTTGGAAGGAAAACTAATTTTAGGATATCCTTATGGTTTTGCATTCTGAATTGCAGTCAATAAGGGTCATGGGCACTGGAGATCCAATGGTGCTTTCTACTGGCATGATGCCTGGTTTATCATTTAAGTTTTCAGGAGTTCAGTCGTTATTATAATTGATCATTTTTTGGGCCTTTGGCAATTAAGCGAGACTTTTCAGTTTGCTTATATTCGAACTACAAGTGGTAGATTGGCTAGACATTTAACCAACCTTTATTATGTGCTGTCAGATCAGCTCTGGGTTTTTAATCATCTGTATGAAGATGTTATCCTTTGTGACTTTTTAGGTCTATTTTGAACTCAAGCATCATGGCCCCCAGTTGAAGAGAATCATTGATGACCAGCATGCTCGATTAGGTGAGGCACAGGAGAAGCTTTCAAAAGCAGAGAAGCAGCAGTCAGGATTGGAGGAAAGGATTAATCGTGCAATGCAGAGACACAATCTTCTGGAACAGCGATTGCATTCCTTGAGGAACTTGCCTGGGGCTGATAAGAAGCCTTTGTCTAAAGCAGAACGTGAATTCAAGTCTGATCTTGGTAATCAATTTTTTGTTTGCAGCAATTATTTTAATGAAATTATGCAAATTTCTGGAGATATTTCTGCTTTTTCCCATCCATTACTATTTCATGAGGAAAATTTTTATTTCCTTTCTGTGGTCAAATCCTTTTCTTTTACATTTATCACACAACAGTTCTTAAGAGATTTTGAAGTCAATTCACTTTTTCATCTCTCCGTTGTAGCAAGGCTGGCCACCACCTTACGGACTATTCTATATTGTTTGGTTATTTTGCAGACCAATTTACTGAAGTTGAATTGGATGCTTTGCGAACTTCCATTGATACACTAAGAGCAAGGCTAAGAAGGTTCACACAATCTTCGAAAGGTGGCATACCAAATCAGCAAAGTAAAATAGTGGGAAGGAACAATGTCCTAGATGCCCAAATATCGCAGCTGAAATCATCAATTGCGAAACTGTCCCTTGTCAATACTGAGAATACAAAGAAAGTTGAAGCTCTTGAATCTGTGTTAAAAAATCGGGAAAGCAATAGATGAAGGGTTCCACAACCTCAAATATGAAGCCGACTTCGTTTTGGTTCTACTGTCTTAGGTATTGGAGCAACAATGCCAGTTTTCGGTCCACAATGCAAGAGTTATTCCATTGCTATTGAGGGCTTCTAATTTATACTGGAGACATGGGTCCGCAAACTAAAGTTGGCCATCTTTTTCAGCACACTTAATGGCAGATGCTTTGGTCAAGATTTTTTGCATTCTGCGGTAAATCACATTCAAGTCAGGGCCTTCTTTGTATTTGTATTATCAATGTTTACATGTTCACATGAATGCTTGTGATAAATTTTTAGGATGCCCATATGATTGGGCTAATGATGCATGCGGGAAAAGTAATTCAACTTGATGTCCTCTTTGTTTTTTAGAAGAATCACGACTTGATTTTAGTGATGTATATCATGAAACCGTTTACACGCCACTTTTAAGATTTATGTGTAATTATATGTTGTTTTCCACAGCAGTTAAGCAAATAAGACACAACAATCAGTTAATGCGCATCAAAGTGCCGTATTCTGGTCGTTCTAATTAGAGGCTGATGAAACTCACATTGATGGCAATGTGGAGGGAGGAACCGAGTGCCTGTCTTTGAATTGCATTTAGCCACATCTGGCTAAGCCAAAAATCATGGGATTTTCAAGATGGGTTACCCGTATTCAACCTAAAGTAGTCATATTGTTTGCCTCTTGTCCTCGTTCAAATTCTGGTTGTAGTGTGGAATAAAATCATCTGCCAATAAACTCTTAATTTTTTCAGCCATCCAGTGAGAAAAAATTATTTGAGTTCGTGAAAGTGAAATCAGGACTCGAGGGGCTCGAGGAGAAAATGCTGCACCCAACAAAACGCATAAATTTTTCGATCATAAGATTTAGTAGGTTTTACGTTGACCGACTCCATGGCCCACAAATTTAAGTACTAGTTTATGGTTGAACAATCCAATTTTTATATTAATTTATTTTACTTTAGGTTCCAGGTGAAGTTCAAGTCTATATTTTGGTAGGCAAAGCAGTGTGAGATAATCACAGATTTTTTAGCTTGACCTGCTGCAAATAAGTAATTGCAATACAGCTGCTGCATTTGGGGCTGAAGTTTAGAGAGGTTTGCCTGTGATGGTGATGTGATGATTCAGGTCCCACCCAACCAAGGAGCCGGAAACTCTACCTTATGATGAGAGAGAACGATTGTGGCACCCTGCACGTTATAACCACACTCCAAATCATCATCATCATTATTATTTTCACAAACTGACAATATCTTTTTGGGTTATGAGTTTGTAACTCAATTAACATTAATGTCTCTCTTCAAAGAAGTTTTCAGTTCAAATCTTTTTTTATAAAAAATAAAAAATAAAAACCTTTCCCTCTCAATATCTCTCTGCTTTCCCTTCTAGAGCCCACGCCACCACCAAGCCCGGAAGATGCCCCCATGGCATAGTAGCATGAGTTGCAACTTGCAAGCATTGCCATTTGCCAACCATTAAACAGCTGCATTGAAAGGTTGATTGCTATGGCATCTAAAATCTTTGAACAGTAAGAGATATATATATCCCAAAGTTAAAGTCCGGAAGAAAGAGAAACGGCGAATTCTAGAGTATGATGCTTCCTTGGAAAATTTGAAAACCAAATTCACTCTTTTGATGCAACTATATATCCTAAGGTTGATTCAAACGCTTGCTGGTTGCTGCATATCAAAAAGAAAATTATGACTGACAGAGAAAATAGTTGTGGTCAGACCTTGGGGTGATGTGAGTTAGAAGGGAAGAGATGTACTGCAAATCGTAATCCTCTCACTCCTATTAAGTAGGATTTATGAATAATTTGGATTCTGAGATGAAGGAATACGACTCCCACTAGACCTCATAATGGAATTCATAAATAATTTTAGTCATGGATTCTATATTTGTATGAAGTAAAAGAACACAACTCTTACTATACCTAATAATTTCTCAGTTTGATAAATAGGATTAGACTCAGAGAAGTATTGATTCAAGAGTAAAGTCGTCAATTTTTAAGGAAAGAGAATTAGTGAGAGTGTGGTTATTACGTAGAGAGTGGATATATATCATATTCCGCCCACGGCCTCTAGCATTGTAATACTCGTTAATCCAGAACTGAACATATGCTTCTATCTTATTACTTTAACTTTTATTGGATCCAACATTTAAAGGATTACAGTTCTTCTACAATACTTTCTCTTTTGCTCTAATACTTTACATGGCTTGGACACGATTTCGACGCTGCACATTGATGGGATATCGCTTCTGTGTCCGCGTAGTTGGAAAGAAAACCAGCTTATCTTCTTCAGCCGGATTCCAACTGTTGGGAATACAAGTTTACATGCAAAAATTAGTTTCCAATTAGCTTGTATACTACCAACAATATTTATAGTTACACATTCAAAGGCAAGATGGAAAAAGATTGTAGAAGACACCTGAAACGGGTGACTAGGTGGTGAAGGAAAACAGAGAGTTCTACTCTAGCAAGTTCATATCCTGGGCATAGCCGTTGTCCTCCTCCAAATGGAGTGAATACATTTGCTGGGCATGTGGCCCCCGAGTCGTTCTGTCAATTTTTTATTTTTTCGAAAACCCGTTAGTGATTAGTTGAAGGAATCAAAATGAAGGATACATGAGCCAGTAAAGAGATTTACCTGCCATCTCCAAGGATTGAAAGTTCGAGCATCTTTAAAGTATTCATGGTCTAAATGTACACCTCTAAAAGATGCAAAAACCTTCCATCCTTTAGGAATTGTATAACCTGAATGGATTAAAGGGCAAAGATATTATTAGTTGGTAAAAGATGCTATATGGATACCAACAGAGCCACGCCACTTATTATGCTACAAACAATCTCCCTACCTTTTACATTGATATCTGTCATCGTTCGTCTAAATATCCCACCTATTATGTTTGCGATTCTCAAAGTCTCATTAACAACCTGAAAAAAATTACCATAGACGAAAAAATAGAGTTAAGGAAAGCTACATCAAAGATCAAGTTCCTATACTGCAATTACTGAGTGTATCTTACACATAGAGTGAAGGTCATTGACTTGTAATCACTCCACTCAAGAGCTTCCCCCTCACCCTTCTTTGCTCTGATCTGTTCATGCTCCTCCTGCAAGATCAAATACCAATGATATTAATGAGAAAAAGAATTATTTAAGCGTGGCCCATGGGCTTGCCTGTGTGTGGGTCTTAAGCTACAGACATGTCTTATCCAAATCACTCAAAAAGAATTTTCTAAGCCCAATTTAATACGCTTAAACCAAAAGGTTGGAAGTAACATGGATAAGAGGACCACGAGACAAGGGACCATGACCATGAGGTATCCTCACGTACCTTGTAACCCTTACTGGTCCCACACCACACTGATTCAAAAAACAATTCGACGGCTATGATTTAAGCATCACACCGAACAAACAAATCAATCCTTCCTAGGAATCAACTTTGCACGACAAGGGGTAGAGCACTAAATGACATCGCCACCGTTGGATACTCTTTTTCCTTGAAATCAGAGCCGAACGATTCCCGATGATCCCAATGCTACACTCCGTGGTACAAGTGCCTGTTTAGTTACCAAAATACCCCACCCTTTAACAGAGTCATTTAATGAAGCGTGTTCTAGGCCATTTCGGGAAAAACAAATTGGTCAAAAGAGCAGAGAATTCAGAGAAGCAGTCAGGTTTTCAGCAGGGAGCATAAACCTAAGGCGTGCAGTTAGGGGGGACGTATCATTTTGTCCGGTTAGACGAATGTTGGGTTCTACTTTGACTTTTACGTTAACGTACTTTTGCCTCTACTTTTGACCGACATTATAAAAACGTAATACAGTCACTTCCCTGTAGAAGAAGAAAAAAGGGATACACGTTTAGTTATTTTTTCGGTCTTCCAAAAAAAGTAACCAAAACGAATTCCTACACAGACAAAAGTTCGGATGCTTTTTTCTTTTCCGTGCAGCTAAAACATTGCAGTAAGAATTAAGAAAGAAATCCCCAGAGAGGACGAATATTGGTTGAGAGAATATATTCCCATTGTTTTCTTAAGAATTAAGTTCAGTTCTCACGCCTACCTTAATTTTGATGATAAAAACGTTTTCCCATGTAATTATACTTTTTTCATATAATTTTATTCGAATTTAGTGATTTAACCTATACTGGATCAAAACAACCGTGTTGCTGCAGACTTACCCTACTATCTGTTAACAAAGATAAAAATGCATGATGCATTACAGTAACCCACTAGAAAAGGGGACCTTTTGTATGAACTCGTGCGGTACAGGTTTTAGGCCCTATTGCATATATAGTTTTTGCGTAGATCATATGCAAGACAATGAAACAACCCGTTTGATCTTTTTTGTTCTCTCTTTATCCTACCACTCAATGTGAATGGTTGAGAATTGACATTGTGTGAAAAAAATATGGGAGGTTTCTGTAGGGGCCAACAAGATGATTATAGGAATTTGGGTCCACTAGAAAAATGGAGTACATCCCTTTTTGCCACACAACCTCCCAGACGACTCCCCCCAAAAAAGAGAGGAAAATAGGTTTGAGCTAGTTAGGATTGATGATAAATAAAAAATAAATGGAGGAAAAGATTCAGCACTTACTTTTATCTGGGCCAAAGCGAGAGGTGTCTCAGTGAGGAACTTGACAGCAAGAGTCATACTAGTAGATGTAGTTTCATAGCCTGCAACTAGCAGAGCCACCAAGAAATCCACTATTTCCTCGTCTGAGAAGCCACCGTGATCATCTGAAGCTAAAAGTGCTCCTAGCATGTCCTTCTTTTTCTCTCCTGACTCGCTCTCTATCCTCCTTTGCTTCACCACCAAGCTCAAAGCCTCTGCCACCTTAGTCCTAGCCTGCAAGTTTTTCAACAAAGTACGTCAAGCTTAATATATGACATCAATGTGAACATTTTTTTCATTAATAAAAGAAAAAAAATCAGAACTTTGATCCTTCGTTTGGATCAAAATCCAAGTGAAGAAAGAAAAGAAAAAAATTCATATCGATCGGCACCAAAAATAGAATGTTTTGATCAAGTGATAGCATAAGAAAATAAGATAAAAAAGAATGCCACTTGCCGTCGATTATACAACTGTGATTTGATTCCAGAGTATTATAAAAACACAAGAGAATATTTACTTTGATAGCTCTGCGGTATGTGGGGGAAAAGATGGGTAGAGGCACACTGAAAAAGCCTTCAATAACAAGCACGTACTCTTTTCTTAGATTCTCGGTCCATTCACAAGGATCAAAGCTCATGAGTTGCTTCATTGTCAACTCAAATGTAATCTGCAGATAAAAAAAAATCAAACAAACGAAATGAAAATATATTAGTAGACGTCATAACATAAATAAAAAAGTTCTAATAATTAAAAAAGTGCAATTAATTTAATGGAACCTTCTGAGTCGAGCAAAACCAAGTATGTAACAACAAAAATAAATTAATAATAACGAGAGAAGCATAAGGGAGGGAATAAAAGTTCATATATGTTTGTGAGACTAACTAGAGCGTGACATTTACAAGTACTGTGATATAATTTTATATGTTAACATGCTCGGAATGTTTGTCACCCACTATTTTAATTCCCTATAACGTGAATCACAAGACAAACCCATAATAATAATAATAAAAACAACATCATTCAAGTAACCTCTAACGATTCAGCACCCAATCAACTCAGTGGTATCATTAGGAACATGCATTAGGAGGAGGTAAAATATAAGAAGCAAATTACCTTCTTGGCTTCTTCCATGAGAAGAACCCGATCAGACCAAGAATCTAAATTGAGACGGATCAACCGGTCTATGTCGACCAAAAGATGGTCTCTAATGATTGACGAGTTAGCGAAACTCATGGTTAAAGAATGCATTTTTTTGTGAAGATTACCCTTCATCAACAACAAAGAATGTTTTCCCAACAAGTTGCTTATCGACCCCGGGTAGCTACACTCAAACAATTTCCCTTCATTTTGCAAAATGAACCGGTTCGTTTCCGGGTCAACAGAAAAAACAGTCGGTTCACCAAAAATATGGGTTGTAAACAACGAACCGAACCGGTTCACCCGATCATCTATAAACGGTTCAGGGTTCTCAGTCTTGTATGCAGATATCAACTGTAGAGTCTCCCCAACAAAGGGCAGACCCAAACTCCCCGGCGGCAGCCGGAGCCGCCGGCACCGGGAACTCCGATGAACGATAAAGATTATCGCCAGGAAAACAGCAAAGAAAACAAGATAAACAGAAACCGCCATGAGATATTTAACTATGTGATGGATATCTTAGTGAACAGAGTAGAGCATCTAGTAGTATAGTACTCATATAAGTAGATGGGCACATATGTATAGAGAGAGGGTTAGTTTTTTCAGGGTAAGGAGAAGGTAGATAGAGCATTAAATGAAGGAAGAGGGAGCACACGAGGGGAGGGTATCTGATAAGAATCTAAGAGGCCTGGGGATGGAAATAAATGTTGGATATTTCCGTATCTGACAGCTTTTCTTTCTCTTTATAAACCTTTTCAAGAAGGAATTGAAAGAGCCATTGATGTTTTCTTTTTCTATCCGTCTGTGACAAAAACACTTGCGAAGTAAAAATGGATTTTTATTTTATTTTATTTTATTTTGTGCATGTATAATGGAATTTTTATTTTCCTGTGCATGTATTGGGATTAGGCTGATCTTCTTTATGAGCGCTCTGTATTTGGAAGAGGAAAAAGTAGGAGAAAAGAAAACCGAGGGGAATTCTAAGATATTTTAATTCTCTTGTTGGGAAGATAATGGAAAATAAAGAGTATGAAAAAATTGAAATGAAATTTTATTTTGGACCCACACTTGCCAAATTGTTCTATCGTGAGATTTTTTTTTTTTTTTTTTAGAAAAAGCAATAAGGGTTTCCTTAAGGAATTTGTTAAGTACTCTTAACATTTACAATTTTTTTCAAAAAATAAAGAGTAGCGCTTATTTCAAAGTAAAGAGTAGTGTAATGACTACAATCAATCACAATATTTCAAAAAATATATATTGTAAACATTTACAAATATTGCCCTATAAAATAGCGCTTGTTTTATATATATTTTTAAATATATTGATTTTTATTCATTTTTTTAAAACAATTCCACAATACTTGGACTTTAATAAATACATTCAGATAATGTTTAAGAAGTGTCTAAGGACACTTGTTCAGAATTATTTAATGCTTCAAATCAATAATTGATTTTTTTTTAATTATAAAATTTATTGTGAATACTTAAAAAATATTATTATAGAAAATAACATTGATTCATTATTTTTAATCGATACAATTCATTTTTATTAAAATATTTAATTTTTTGCCTTGCTTATCACAAGTCAATGATAAATAAATTACAATAAATGCACTTCAATAATACTTAAAGAGTACCATAAAAATTAGAACTTTAACCTGTTAAAAGAAACTCGTTAGTAAGAAATTAAAGATATGTAAATGTGTTTTTTCTCTCCTGAAAAAAAAAAAAAAAAACATAGCTTAAATCTAGAATTATCCGCTGTACAGTAATACTTTCATCTCACTTGCCTTTTTTATCGTTATTTTTTTTTCTATTTGTTTTATTTAATTATTTGATTTTTCATTTTTAGGATGCTGGCAATTCAGATTATGTCTGAAATCTAGAGTTTAGTAATACTCGAAGTTTCTGTTTTAAATACCGTTTAGGTATTATAATAAGATTTATATTTTATGTTTTGAGTTGTGAAGGTTACCGATATTTTTTTAAATTAATTTGGATGTTCGAAATCTTTATAAAAAAAATTGAATATTTGAAATCTTTCGTTAATAAAGCATGGCAATACAACCAGTTCTCCCATAAATCTACGATGATGATAATTTCGAGTGCGTAAGTAATGGGTAAAGAAATCTCATTTTGAATAGTTTTCGTCAGAAGGTTTTAATGAAGTATTGGTAATGTACATGAAGAGTCCAATTTCTATTTAAAATGCCATTATCATAAAGGGTTTTCTAAGAACTTTTTGTTGTAACAAATTGCAATTGTCATGTCAATTTTATTTATTAAATTTATATGATATAAGATCATATATATCACACCTTAACCTTATTAATGCATAACTTTGTTAGTTGTTTCCGCGTGCAATGGTCACTTCTCCTTATTCGTTGTCATTGCTCGTATATACAAAAAATATATATATATAATAATAATAATAATAATTTTATAATACAGAAAAAGTAATTAGTAACACATATAATATTTATTTTATCAACTTACTTTGAGGAAAAAGAAAGAGAAACGGGAGGAAAAAAATATAAGTATGAAAATCTTCTTATCATTTTTTATGAGTTTAAATGTAATTTTATTTTTTATGTCTATCTTTCTCTTCAAAGTGGGTTCATCAAGTAACTATTTTACATTTCGATAGTTACTCCTTGTGTATTATAAAATATTAAGTTATTATTACTCAATTTTTTTTATTTTTTTTTAAAAAAGAAGAATAAGAGGAGGAGGAGGATGAGGAGGAGAGAGGTTAAAATAGAAAGACTTACATCGTGCACAGCAACATACTTGCTTTCCAAAGTTCCTTTTCCGTTTAGCAGCAATATTTTTCCCTAGAAGCACGTGGGCAATTGGATCGCATCCAATTAAACAAATAACAAGAGAAATTTCTGTCATTATAAGCGGAAAATCCACTTAACATTAGTTCCCAAATATTTTATATGATTTAAAACGGTAACAAAAGCAGTTCATATTAAAAAAAAATAATAAAAATTGAATATGTCTCTAAGCTAGTTTTAGATTCGACAATATATATTGTATAAATCCAATATCCTTGGGACAAACATATTTCGATTATATGAAATGTAAAATAAAGCAACAATAACATTTCTAAAAGAAAGAAAGAAAGAAAAGGTTACTCGGTGTCAATTTAATTAAGGTTTAGAGTCGATAGAATGTCATTCCACCCAATTCCATCATCTTTTGGCTACCTCTAATTGTCTTTTTGGAAAGAGGGGCACCCTAAAACAACCAAAACCCTTGCTTTTTGTTGTCATTATTAACCGAAATGATAATTAACAAAGAAACTAAGTTCACTCTGCTTCGTCCAGCTAGCCGAGATGGGTGTGAGCTCCCACAAACGAAGCTTCTAAGAAGATAATGCATTGCAAGCTTATCAATCAGCCACGTGGCTAAAAACAACGAAGAGTATGATGCAATTATAGGGTCGTTTGATTTTTTAAAATATAAGGTTATGATACCATGTTCATCCACATGGTCCCCATAAGGGCCATTAAGCTCTCCACCCACTAGACAGCCCATAAAATAATGATCCATATGCCAAGTACCCACATCAACCTTTTATGTGAAGTTATTGAGGGGAGAATCATATCATGTGATTCTGCATCTTCTCTTTCCCTTTTTATCTCATTTAAGCATTCTTAATTCTACAATTAATTGACATTTAATCAAACATTCTCTCTAAATAGATCAGACCACCTTGTCATCATCCATTCGCGCCAAAGGGATTTGATGGAGGTATTTATTACAAGGTTCCTAGGTACGTTAGCTGTTTTGAGACAGATGAGGACCCTGATTTGCGGGATTTAGACAGAATTTGGCTTTCTATCAAGGTTATGGAATTTGATTAAGATGTTTATCCTGCATCATGCATTCTTTGGTTAACATGGCTAATACTTCTGATCATGATTATCTGAGGACGCAAATTCACGCAATTTGATCGTTCAAGTGATAGTGATGTGTATCAATTAGTTTGTTCTTCAGATCATGTGCCCGTAATTACTTATCAATTAATTAGTGTCTCCTGAAATTGATTAGTTTAATATGTTTAAAGTCCATAAGATAAGACACAAGATAAATATCTTCCCTCGTTTGTTTCTCGTATAGTAATTCCAACTAAAATTACATCTCAGCCAATGCCTTAATTACACTTTTCTTACTCAAACACGGCGCTTATCGTTAAGGAAAATATTAGAATTAGAAATTCATAACCGAGCTGAAAAAGACACCAATTTTGATGGAGACTGAACCAGAAATTAGTGTACATGATAAATCAATAATATCGCCCCACGTTTGATGTGACCATGTCCATGTGCGTAGAAAATGAACAAGTGGAGATGTGCACTCTTTTTTTTTTTTTCTTGTTAACAGTATAGTTGATGCATTCTAATTTCCAGTTGAAAAGACAGCTGATCGGCCGAAGGCAGAAATGTCCAAGTGTGGGGATAATTTTTTAGTCCTTTGTAATGGCCCATATCAATTTGTGTTCAAATATAACTCGGTTTCTCGGCAGAAATCGTCACCATAACAACCAAACTTTGCACTGACAAAAGAGGAGATGCATGAGCCAGACCAATAATTATAACTATGTGCTTGCAAGCTGGTCCTTCTATCTAAACTAAATGTCCCACCAATATCCGTAGCGAATCCTAGTTGGTACAATCCGTGCATGCTCCTTGAAAGGCATTTATATGTAGTTAAAAGAAAAAAGCAAGGGTGAGATCTTATATTTCTAAATCTAAGAGTGGAGGATTTGCTCGATTAGTTGCTCTCCACGCAGAACACCATCGATCAGCTTTAGCGTGTGTTATGCACTTCCCTGCCGACGTTTTATTTTTCAAAAAGTTCAGAGACATTACGTACATTTTTTTCCCATAATGATGTTCTGTTTTATGATTAATTATGTGTTGATTGAAATTAACTTTTTTTATAAATAATTTTTAAAACATATTTTCTATTAAGAGAAATATTTTTTTTGAAATACTAATATTAAGGTTTAAACTCAAAAAATCATGAAAATAGACAAACCTTCTTAACCATCTATTAAATTATATTACATGCATATCAATAATTGATTAATGTACTCTATCGTGGAATAATGTATTACTTGATAAAGAGTGAAAATGAATTGATGTGAACTACGCATGATTGTGTATTTTGCATTTTTTTCTCTAATTAATAACGTGTATATTTTTTTTTCTAATAGTTCGTTCTGTGCGCATGCATGTTTTGAATTGGATTGTAAATAAAAATCCTATTGTCCTAACTGAGGCTTTCGGTTTGAACTTTTTCTTTGGTGTTTATGTAGATATGAAATGTTTGTTTTCGATTAACCTCATTTACAAAAATACCATATCTTCGGTAATAATATTAAGAACATAGAGAAATTTTATAATACTAATAGAGTAATTAGTAACTAGTGGTATATATAGTAGTTAGTTCAAGTACTCACTTTGAGAAAAGAGATAGAAA